AAAAAGGTCTTATGTTTGTTTTTTTTTCGGGGGGAGGCCCTTTTTCCAGTTTAGAGCAATAGCCCCTCCAAATGTCTGTGCACGTCCCTGGATAGGTGTGTGGGCTGTCTTTCATTTTGACACAAAGAACAATGGGGCCTATCCACCCTTATCCACAATGTAAAGTAATTCACACAGCCTCTTCCCTCTTCTCTCTGTGAGGAGCAGCAGGTTCAGCTTTCAGAACAAAGTAACAAAAAACTAAAATGGCATTACTTTTTTAAATATGTCGTGTAGTAATAGATTTATTTATTTTTCTTCTCAAGAGAGTAGGCTACCAGAATGTGTTTTTTATGTTAGTAACCTATTTCAAAACTAAAACAAAAAAAATCTCCTGGGGGAGAATCCCACCAGACCCCCCTGCAGGGGTTGGGTTTTCGGCATGTCAACTCTTTTACCTGCCTTTTTATTTCATACAGTTCAATTTGGATTGAGACAGGGAAATAATCTAAACCTCACGGGTGGCGTTTCACTGTCAAGGGGAGCGTGTATGTAATTACATTGCAAATACTGACATGAGCCCTACCATAGATTACCCAACACAAATACTCTCTCGCAACTGCCGACCCGTATTGCGCATGCTCAGATCTAAGAACCAGTAGAAATGATAAAAAAGTAAAAGTCTACTGCTTATTGTTCTACTAGGCCAAAATAGAGTCAAAGAGTATATGAGAGTGAGAGTGTGTTAATTAATATATTTGGCAGTTTGGAGTAAGTCTGTAGATTTGTTTGTGTGTGTGTGTTTCATGTATAGCTCTCACGATAATTAATTTTGTTGGATACATTTTCCCGGAAATTATTGCGATAAACGATAATATTGTCGGCACCGTTGTATGACCATTTTAGACCACTGACATAATGATAATATATAATAATAATTCAAGTACATCCTTTTAAACTGCTAGTCACATCCTCATGTAAATGGCAATTTATCGAGTTCATTTTTATTTATCGTAAGATACGTCAATTCATTGCTTATCGCGACAGGCACACAATAAAACAGTGGAAACAAACATGTGTTTGACTTTCATTAGTGAATGAAACTTTGTGCCTTTTATAGTCTGTGTCCAATATTGTGTATTTGTATATATTGTATATATATCCTATATATAGGCTATGCTAAGGTCCTGCTGCTGACACGATAGCAGTCATTTCGTGCGCATATGTAATTAAACCCATGATATCAAAATCTCACTCCAGCCAGGTACCCAAAGTTGGCAACCCTGTACTACGCCTTCCTCATTCCTGTCATGCCACAGTACTCTCTTTCATCTAACCATCCTCTCAGCTAGTCATATCCAAAAGATGGCGGAGATAAAGAGAAACTGTGTTCATCTCTCCTTCACTCAGCCCTCCAGAGCTTCTCCTACATCTTGTTTGCATTATCTGTCGTTTCCACCTGAGCTCCTGTCAGTCTTTATATTGGGTCTAAAGCCGTTCTTTAGGCCTGCAGCTTAGCTCAGCCCAAACACGGCCGTCCTGTAGCAGACTGACTGGACTTATCAGGCCCTGCTGCTCATCAGAGAGGATTACCGTGCACAACTGAAACAGTCCCTGGAAATAGTGAGAAAATATGATGTCGTTTATGCAACAACAGTATGACCTTCTGTGGGATTTTGTTTAAATAACATGTAGCCGGTGTTAATGTGCAAGGGCGTATCTTGACTATTAGATCATCATTTGATTGATGATCTAATAGTTTGACGGTTTCGGTCCTCGTTTTTATCGGTTATGATAACATTTGACTCTCCAATTGCTAGAACTGGGAAAACACAAGCGACAGTGTAGCCAGATTGTCCAAATAAGGGCAGCTGAAATGTTGTTAAATACAACAATCCTCTAGTGCATGGGAAATCTGTTCTAAGTCACTTTCACCTTTTCTTCTATAAAGGTTTGGCTAACCTGCTAAGTTTCGTTTTTAAATTGCATTTACCAGTTTCCAGTTTATTGAGTACACCTAGCTAAAATCGTAGTCTACTATGACAATCCGGTAATAAATCCTATCTTCATGAAGGTTGTCAAGTTTTAACCTCATGATTATTTTGGAGGTTATAGTTTGCATTTTAAAGAGAGGTTTTTCTACAAACCACTAAAAGATGTGAGAAAGTGGCAAGAACTTGTAAATGTTCACAGTATATTGTGATACTTGTTTTGAGTAAGAAACCTGTCAATAGGAAGAGAAATGTGTTTTATGTTAGCTTGCATGTGGCAAATGTGGTGAATCTGGGCCGTGCAGGTTTGTCTCAACCAGTCTAATCGTCTGATCTCTTTTTTTTCTTGCCTGTTCTGAATTATTTTCAGCAATGTCACAGCGCTCCCAGATCCCAGCATTTAAAGGTACCCAATGAAGTTTTTACTTGTAATAAAAATAGCTTATTTATCACTTGAAGCCCTTGTGTATATCTAACTTGCATGTCATACAAAATATTTGCAGAGCTGAAACTAAAATGTAAACATATATTGCTAGCAATCATCTTCTTTGAGTTTGTTATTGCCCCCCAAATGCTGATAAATTGATTAGCATGATGACGTGACTGTTACGCACAAGGATGCTGATGCGTTTGTGCACAAGATAAAATCATTGCTTCCTCCCTAACATCACTAGTGGGCAAACACTCCAAAGAGAGTACTTTTTAACTTAGCCAGAATTATTAGAATAAACCCAAACATCCTAAAACAGCTGCAGTTTAATCTTCTCTATGTTCTTCCTTCTGCTCTAATATGTATTGGGTCGTTTTGTGTGCAAATTTGCTGCCGTGTTCACCCATAATTCAAGTGTATTGACGTAACACTCACAGCCACAAAATTACCACCCCCGCTGGACAAGAAGTGAAATTCAATATTAGAAGCGTCATAAACAAGACCGGCTTGTACATAAAATTCAAGACACATGTTCAAACTTAATGCTTTTATTTAGATGAGAATGACTTCATCCGAACATCCTAGATTTTAAGATAAAAACAAGACTTCTCTGAGAATTATCCACATAAATCAAATGGGGGAGATACAAAAACTATCCAGCTGATATATGAGTTTCCTAAAGTGTTCTGTATTGATTTGTTGCTTCAGGTGATGTGGAATACCAAGTCAAAAGAAGGCGTTTTCTCTCATGCAGTGTTTTTCTCAGCCACTTCCAATATCAGGCATTTTATATAGCAGCAGTAAGTGAGGCCACAGAAAGTGATGTAAGTCCTCTTGCTACCTGCAGACACAATGCTGTCAGATATTCAGTTGTGTGTCATTTCAAGAAGAGTTTCTTATTGCTTTTTGTTTTTATCAAATATTTGTGCTTCACTCTCTGTATTCATATGTTTTCCTGTACTGGTTGTGCACTTGTCATTGTGCCATTTCTTCTCACATTAGAGATAATCAGGCAGTAACATACCTTTCCTCCTGTTCCCGCTGATAATGTTATCTTTTTTTTACTTGTTTTCTGTTGGAGAAAAGGTGATTCGGAAATTAGCCCTTTGACATGTCAGTCATAAAATAATAAGTGTTTGTAGAAAAATACCCTCAGATTTGACTAAAGGCAGAGGACGATGCAACGGCTGAGCTAACAGAGCGCTCAGCGTCTGCTCTGTTTCCATTCCCGTTTTTACTCTCTTAAACACACACACACACACACACACACACACACTGACACAAGTCGACCAATATGTGCCCCTGTTTTCATTCCTTTGTGTCAAACCACAGTGATCTCATCTCTCCATCAGGCAGTTTGCTATGTGTGTGTGCTAATAGCTGCCTCCCTTCCTCTTTGGCTCTGTTAGGCTCTGTTTGCCTCTGTCACACACACACACACACACACACACACACACACACACACACACACACACACACACACACACACACACACACACACACACACACACACACACACACACACACACACACACACACACACACACACACACACACACACACACACACACACACACACACACAGAGAGAGACCACTACCTCACTTCCAACAAGGCTTATTTTTTCTGCATTACTATCTAACAATCTTTCCCTTTATCTCACCACCATATCTTAAGTACACACATGAATACATTGAGACACACAGATCTACGCACTGCACACACATTCTGGGTGCTTTGTGTGTATTAATACGCTGTCAGAGGAGATAATAACTTAGTTTGGGATGACAGCGCCTCTGGGAAATCCCCTCCGGGGGTCGTCTGGTCCTCTCTGGTGTTCAGACGGCCCTCTTCTCTGCTGACCCCTGACCCTTTTCTCTGGTCATATAGTCTGCATCGCTTTTCATACTCATACTGTTTTTCAGTTCTTCCTTTCTGGGGATCTTGTCAAGTGCTCTAATGTTGACGGGGGTACCTAATCAATTCTGGGCTCACATAGTAGACAATAACACATACATTTCAAATTGCCTATTATTTTTTTCTTTGACCTGTCCTCAGCAAAATGACTGAGACCACATTTATTTTAATATACAAAATGCCAGTCTTAAATGTATGCTTGCAAGGTCAAGAAAATCAACTCAAAACACAGACATTTGATGGTCATGTGTTCCTATTAACTTCTTATAGACATGAGCTACAAGCGCTTTGAGGGGTCTTAAAGACTGGGTAAAGCGCTATATAAGTACAGTCCATTTACCATTTACCATTTACTATAAAACTACAAAAGCTCTTAATTCTCTCTGCAGACTTTTTACTTTGCACCAAACAGCAGACACACAGTTAGAGATTAGCACAACTGGTGCTCTCATTGTATCTTTTAGCAATTTAGGAGTTGTTGACCAAACAGAGCTTAAAGGAAAGTGAATACTGCGCTCACATTTGTCAGTGGCCAGAAACTCGACTCCAAGTGATAATATGTCAGTGTTTTGTATACAAATATTATTCGGCAGGTTCAGGAATGGTATTTTTTTTAAATATCAAATAATGGTGGCTCATGTGTGTTAATCTGAAAAGTATTTTACTTTATTTCTCCTCCCTCAGGTCAGTTGATTGAGCGAGTCCTGCTGTCCTCCATGTTGAACCCCAGTGAACAGTGGCAGACGTATCGTCACCACGGACAGCCTCTCAGTCTAGATTACCGGCTTCGCTTCCGCTGTGATTCAAACTATTACGGACCCTTCTGCAACAAGTTCTGCAGGGCCCGCGATGACTTCTTTGGACACTTCAACTGTGACCCCAGCGGCAACAAGGTCTGCATGGAGGGCTGGACGGGACCAGAGTGCAAAGAAGGTGAGAGAGTCCATAGCTACATGAGAGAGCACAACAAGATGTTTTTTTAGCTTGTGTTGTGATTGAAAAACAAGATTTAAAGGTGAAATGTCATGCTTTTCCGGTTATTACCCGTACCCTTGTGTGTTATGAAGGTTTGTATGCATGTAAATGGTGTGCAGAGTCAAAACCCTCAAAGTACACCCTGTAGCGAGTAAACTCTAACACAGAAAATACCTCCCCAAAACGCCTCGTTGGAGATACGTCACTGTCCATTTGATTCTTCCGGGTACATCATGATGTCATGTCGTCCCCGGAACGAAATGGACCAATCCGTGGAGCCGTTACGTTACGTCCGCGGAGCCGTTACGTTAAGCTCCCGCTGATTGGTCCAAATTGACCAATCCACGGACTTCCTCAAACACTCAGTGCAGGCAGCTCTGCTGATTTCTCCTCCCTGGCTGCAGGCTGATAACAGACAGTTGGGATCGCGGCGAAATTCTCTCTGCAGACCCATTCTCACAGCGTTTATCAACCTTTTTCTTACTCGATATCAAGCCACACTTATTGTTTTTACTTCGGCTGTGACTTTGTGTGTGCTCAGGATGAACTGTGTTTCGCTGTGTATCGCTAAACAAGGAAATCACACCTCCACGGAGCTCAGCGCGATTCACAACGTCCCGACTGGTCCCGACCAATCGGAGTACACTCGGCTCACAGGGAGGGGGGGGCAAGAGCTGCAACGAGCTGCAACGAGCTGCAACGAGCCGTTTAGTGGAGAGAGTGAATACTGCTGAATACACATACACATACTTTACAGAGATGCTGTATGAGAAACCAATGTGAGTTTGGATAATTGCACAGTATAAATCTATTCTAGTAGACCTCAACAATGGAATTATGATCAGTGGAAATGGCCATGACATGGGACCTTTAACATGTTAATCAGTGAGCTGGTGCTGGAAGATACATTTATTACATTTGGACAGAGCCAGGCTTGCTGTTTCCTCCTGTTTCCACTCTCTCTGCTAAGCTAAGCTAACCTCCAGCTGGCAGTAGTTTCACATTTATTATACAGATGTTATGTCTTTCTTTGAAATCAACGGAAAACAATGTCTGCCTGGATTTTTCGCCAGCTAACTCTGATTTACTCCAAAATAGCACATACACTGAGAACATTTCAAGAAATGTCTGTTACTAAAAAAACTATTCAGCAAATATTTTCCTCAGGATGACTTGAGGTCACTGGTGAGAAAAAATAGAAAATGTTTTCGCTCTTCGTTTATTTTCCCAGGGATGGAAGGGAGTTTCCTCTCCTTTCTTAAGAGCTTTTTTTCATTAGGGTATCCTCGTTTTCTTTTTTGAAGTAGACCCATGAACAAGTGAGAATGAGCTTCAAATGGTCTCACTTTCCAAAACACTTTTGGAATCAAAAAACCCAATACGAATCTTACAAAGACAGAAGAAAAGGCACACATAAGTACACAAATCTAATATTAATAATGACAGCCTTTAGGACTCTTTACACGGACACACAGCTGTACTTCAGTCAATATGTGTCAGTTAGCTTCAGTGAACTGTGTGTGTGTGGATTATTCTCTGTCTGTCTGTGACTCATCAGCTGGTTGACCTCGCTGCGTGACCTCGGAGCGCTGCCATCATGTAGCGATGGTACAAACTGAATAGAGGAAACCATGTGGAAACCATAGGAACCCTGAAGGACACAGGGCTAGTTTACTGACATCCTGCAGCCTTGTCCACCCCGCCCGTGTCTCACTTAGAGTGACTTCCCACTCAGCAGGTCCCTGATTGGACTGCAGTGAGGCAGGAAGCCTGGAAACTGCAGTCGGGGTCTGTCTGTTACCCCCTGCAGTTACTGACCATGATGAAGTTCAGGGACTTTCTCCAGCTGGAGACTTTAACTAGCTCAACTTTTAAAAATCACATAAAGAGGTTATATTGAGATTTCAGCAAGGTGACCAAACAAACACACCCCATCTACTTTACATACTTTCTCATCTCATGCTGCTCGGCTAAGTAGGTGTCTGTTGATAGCTGGGGTGATTTTTTGTTTACTGGTAGTGATATGTATTACAGTGTAGATTTCAGGTTTTAATGTTTACACTTACTCATCTGAATTTCACTTCTGTTCCATTGTGTTTTCTTGTCTTTAATAGCTTTCTTTTTGTTTGCGCGCTTGTTTTGTTCACAGCTGTATGCAGGCAGGGGTGTCATCAGACCCATGGCTCGTGTACGGCACCTGGAGAATGCAAGTAAGTCCAAAAAACGCTTGAGTTGTAACTTGCACTGTGGACCTTTACAAAGACACCAGGGCCAAATGATATCATTTCAAAGTCAATGCAACAATGTATACTTTCATTGATGTGATGTGATATGATGGGAGGTAGATTAATTTACTACCGTGAAAACTAAATGTAGCCGTTCACTCCAGTATATACAGTACAGTGTTATATTTTGAACAAAATACAGTGATATAAAGCCTACTTTAACTTCCTAAACTTTTTCTAAACAGTCTTCCTTGTGTTATTCATACCAATAGCCATTAATTCTGCTTGTTCTTGAACCTTAACCTGCACTGAGAACTACTCAAGTTAAAAGCTGCATCTAACATATGACATGATTAATCTTTTGTAAGTAGCCTATACACAATTTTAACAGTTTATTTCTGATGTAACCTACCCATAACAAGATGTATTAGTGCAACTAGTACAAGCAGCCATTTAAAGAAAACAAGGTGCACAATATCCAATGAAAAATATCTCTCTATTATGAACAGACAACAGTTATCAGTTAGGCACACACAGTGTCTGATGGAAATGGTTCAGAAGAGTAACTATCAAATCCCATGAACGCAATACAAATAACTGTCTCTTTGCTTTCCCCCTGCAGGTGTCATTATGGCTGGAAGGGCCCTCTGTGTGATCAGTGTGTGACGTTCCCCGGCTGTGTGTACGGAAGCTGCAGCGAACCCTGGCAGTGTGTGTGTGATGTCAACTGGGGAGGACTGCTGTGTGACAAAGGTCAGACATGTGACCCGTTATATGTTTAATGTTTATAATGTACCAACATGGGAATACAGTTATTTGTTGAAAATTAACTGTAGAAACAAGATGACATGCTAATGCAAAAATACAGGGAGCTTCCCCTGACGCTGATAGGATTAATAAGCATTTTGTGAAGTTGGTTAGCAGTTTTAGTTGAATGTATTGGATGTTGACTTACATGGAGTTTTTCTACTGTAATTTAAACAATAACTGTTTCTATGATCAGCATAAAAGGTGTTAGAAACTTAACGCAGTTGTATTTGTGAAAGATATGTGTGTGTTAGCTTGTAAAATATATATTTTCCTCTTTACTCTCTTGGATAACAGCATATGTATTTTAACATTTTAGAATGTAATAGCAAGAACATGAACCGTTTCATCTGTGTAAAGATGAAAGAGGTTTGCCCTTTATTGTTGTCAGGTGTGGTTCTTCACACACCTTCCCATGCACTGCCAGCTGATCCTCTGCATGAGATAAAACACAGCTCCTCCTACACGGCTTCTCTTTCCATTCTTTAACTTTTCCCACCACACTGTTGCAAAGTTCCTACAACATTATCCCAGAATACAACAGTCCACCTCTGTCTCAGTGTGGGAGCTGGGATCCGGGAGCCCACGGGACAGTGCATTGTGCAGAGGAAAGCTGATAGCCTTGGGTAAGGTGAATGTGAGCGGGGCTCTCTTAGCTAGGTGGGGTCCTAAGCTGTTTCTGTGTATTCAGAAAGGCCCTCTAAAGAGCTGTGGTGAGACAAAGAGACTGTGGGCACGGAGAAGATTATTAGAGAAAGCTTTAATCAGCCTCAACACTGGAGACAACAGACCCTGCAGCTTCTGTCCAGCACAGTCAGCACACTGAGCCGACCTGGGTACAGTGTGTGTGTGTGTGTGTGTGTGTGTGTGTGTGTGTGTGTGTGTGTGTGTGTGTGTGTGTGTGTGTGTGTGTGTGTGTGTGTGTGTGTGTGTGTGTGTGTGTGTGTGTGTGTGTGTGTGTGTGTGTGTGTGTGTGTGTGTGTGTGTGTGTGTGTGTGTGTGTGTGTGTGTGTGTGTGTGTGTGTGTGTGTGTGTGTGTGTGTGTGTGTGTGTGTGTGTGTGTGTGTGTGTGTGTGTGTGTGTGTGTGTGTGTGTGTGTGTGTGTGTGTGTGTGTGTGTGTGTGTGTGTGTGTGTGTGTGTGTGTGTGTGTGTGTGTGTGTGTGTGTGTGTGTGTGCTCTATGCTCTATACCTGAGACAAAGTCAAACCGAAGTGATCCTGGCTCCATTCGCATCCTGATTCCTATACATTTTGTTCCCTTTATAGCAAACCTCAATCATACTTTTTTATTGTTTCAGATCTGAACTACTGTGGCACCCACCAGCCGTGTAAGAACGGTGGAACATGCACCAACACAGAGCCAAATGAATACCACTGTGAATGCCAGGAAGGTTTCAGAGGACGCAACTGTGACATTGGTAAGTGCAACCTCACCATACAGGCACGGCACCAAAATGTGAAATACAATCCAGGTTATTTATCTGCATAAATGACAGAAATGCTTGGATTCAAAAAGCATAACATTTTATGGCGTTGACCAAAATGTAAGGTCAAATCTGTTAAATGAACAATACAGACTCACGCAACAAATATATAAATACCTGAACATGGTTCATGTTTATTATCATCTATCAAATTGTTTGCGATAACATAATTGCATGCCAGCATTTTTTTTATAAGCCTATATATGTGACATGTTTTATTTATGTTTTTGCAGTCAGGAAAGAAGGAAGTAGAAACATTAAGAAGAATTTGTCTGAACTTAGCTACAAAGCAGTCCGCACTACCTTTATTTTTACCCAATAGAGTGGCCCTGTGTGGTTGTGAGCCTTAACATGTAATCAAATTTGCATCTGTCAATTGTTCTCCTCTCCTCAGTGGAGCATGCATGTTTGTCGTCCCCGTGTGTGAACGGAGCCACCTGTGTGGAGGACCCCACGGGCTTCAGCTGCACCTGTACCGACGACTGGACCGGACACACCTGCGCTGAAGGTGATTGACACACACACACACACACACACACTCCCCAGGCACAAACAACTCTGCGCTGGGCAGAGATTGTCTGTGCCTGGATAAAAGCCAGGGAGTGACTCTAATCAATCCAACAGAGGAAGCTAAATTAGCCTGATCTCAGACAGCAATCAGTGGTGTCTCTGTGTTTGTGTGTGTGTTTGTCCTAGATACAAGGTGGGGTGGAGCATCCTTAATCAACTCTATTGATTGTAAATAGGGGTGTGTATTTTTTTTAATGCCAGTGAATTAGGGGTTTATTGTCTAGTGTTTTCTTTTGTCGGTCTTGTTCAGCGTCCTGCATACAGACGTTGAATCAGAATAGGTGGATTAGTGTTAAGAAATGTAAGCAGCGTGCAGCACAAGTACCGGATCAGACAGGTGTGGCTGGAGGTCAGTCGATTGATGAAGTTCTTTTGTCCACATGTGTTGAGTAAAACACTGAACCCTTAATTACTTTTGATGTAATGGGAATCAGTGTAACAAGTACTACTTAGATCTGCAATACAAAGCAGATGCTGATAACTTTACAGGTAGGCTGCAATAAATGAACAAAGTAGAAACGTTTAAAAACTATCGATTTCAGTGAAGTGAATATAAGCACAGACTTTTATCTCATGTGAGAAGCAGTGCAGCAACATCCTGTCCCCCGTGATGTGTGAGCATGGGAAATAAATATAAAGTTGTTTTGGGACCAAAGTGTCTGCTAAATGAATGTAATGTTATCAGATTTGTTTGGAAACTGAAACCACTACTAAACATTAAAACAATACACACTCGTGTTAAGAACAGGAATGACATATTGTTGTTGGCGTTTGTCCTCATAAGTTGTCGTGACATTAGTTTGCTGTACAGACGCCTGATGTTTCTCCTAAAAATATGCAGCGTTAGACTGTCTAACTTTGGTCATTACAAAGACTCTGCTACACCAGCCGCTCGTAAAAAATGAAGCAATTCTCAGACACCACGAGGACACTTTGACATGCAATCTGGTCCAAGAAAGTGTGGAGTTTAACCGATACTGTACCACATGAGGAACTCTGAGCACTGATGTTTCAGATGGCAATTAAGATTTTATTCTGTATTTCAGCAAATGTACTTACACAGATTCAGCAGTGTTTATCCTTGGATCAATGTGTACTCAAACAGCTCTATTTACTGTCAGTTTCCTGGAGTAATCAGATTTCTAAAGCTTGGAGTGCAGAACTTTTATCTCCTCTGGCAGTGAGAACAATTACCATACGGGACTTGAACTTTGAAACAGAGCAGCAGCTATGGTGAAAGTTAAGTTTTGTGGATGGTACAGATGGATAAGAAATAAAATGTCTGCAGAAAGACTTGAGGAAAGCACTCAAGGTGGCAGGGAGAGATGTGGTGCTACTGGAAAAGTAACCAACACAAGATGACACAGTACCCGTATACTGTAGAAAAACAGAGAGCTTTCCCTGAAGATGATAGGCTAATTAGCATTTTGGAAATCGATTGGCAAGGATTTAATGTAATGGATGTTCATTTCTTTCTAAAAGTCCCAATTTCAACCATCATGCTAACAACACTGACCAGACACTTGAACAGACTTTAGGATAAGCCTTTACAGCCACAGCCACAGAAGACAAAACAATTTTTCCATCACACTCTGAGTAGGCTTGATGACGTGTAAAGTGAGTGACTAAGTTAAATTAAAACAGTGGAGTTTCCTTTTTAGTTGACAAGAACAAGCACTTAGAAGTTTAAACACGTAATAACTAGCATTTTTATGCACATGCATTTAGAATAGTTGTAAATAAATACATTAAATCAAATTTTTTCACAGTATGATCGACGTATGTATCTTGATCCCTACAGTGTCACATTGTAGAGCTTCAAGCCTTGTGAGATCTCCTGATTCCATCTCCTCAATAGCGAATCAGACCGAGTTGTATTCGATTTTTTTGGTGTGTGTATATTGCTACAACAGGTGAGATTGGATCATCCAGATTACAGTCTGTCAGAGCTGTGTGTGTGTGTGTGTGTGTGTGTAAACAAGCAGCGTTCCACATCTTCTGCTTTCACCTCGATCAGGATACACAGCGCTGGCATGTAAACACTTTTATTACACAGGGAGAAAATAGGAGAGGGACAAACAGAGGAATAAAGGAAGGGTTTATTTTTGCTCTTGTTATTTGTTGTTGGCTTGATTAACAGTCAGAGAGGCCGTCTATCTCTGTGTGTGTTGTGGGGGTCTCTCTGGGGAATACACAGTGAGAGGATTGTCAGGCTTGCAGGGAATGACAACCATAACCACAACACAGCTCTGCTTTCAGACTTAGATTTATATATATATGCAATATTAATTAAAGGCTTCTTTGTTTTTTAAATGAATTTTTCCTTTAGTTGGCTGGGGTGTTATTGCTCAGGGTGCGAGTCAGGATCATGAGGATGGAAAATGGTTATTCTGCAGGGTTAGGTAAAGGATGAAAGGTTGTGAGAGAGACAGAGAGCTCTTGACTGAGAGATGTATAGCACAGAGGCGTGCATGGGAACAGTTATGATGGCACTACTACACAAATATACCATGTGTAAAAGGAAGTCATGCATGGTTATTAACACCATAAAATGAGCTCCTCTCTGTCAGTGTTCTTTTTCCTCATATTTCTTTATCTGTATTTAATTCCTCGTCAGAGAAGTGGAACCAAGCGTTGCAGTTCCATCAGCCTATTTCCAATTCACCCCGTCCCTGCTTTTTTTCTCCCATCATGCTTGCCTTTATTTAAATGCCCTCATACCTCTCTCCTCTCTGGCAAAGCTTTGAGGTGACAGCCATGAACGTGCAGCAGATGATTGTATTTATCACTGTTTGCACAGAAACCAGAGCAGCACTGGAATGGAGAAAATGAAAACACAGGCTGCCATAGCATCCGCATACCAATGCTACAGATCACACATGTCCACATGGTGGCATCACACAGACACACAAAATGCCTCTTTGATATTCACACACACATTCCCATTACACACACCAGTAATTAATGTGCTATGTTTTATCTTCCCAGCGGTGAGGCAGTGTGACCGGAGCCCCTGCGGCCGTGGAGCCACGTGTCAGGAGGCTCCTGGAGGCTACAAGTGCCTCTGCCCGCCGGGATGGACCGGCAGGACGTGCCAGCTGGGTCAGTTTCACATCTATTATAGGCCTATAAATATACATGTAGGGTCAGTGAATTATAGAGCCTGGTATGTATCTTATTCTATCAATTGTTTGCATGAATATATCAAAACACAAAGGGAATATGCTTTCCGACTAAATAAATAACAGAAAAAAAGGCCATTTAAAATGTTGTATTCACATTTATCTAATAATGTTATCAAACTGCAAAAATACCTCTTATCCAAGTAAATGACATTGAACTAAATCATTAAAGGTAAATGACCGAATCAGTAATACATGATCCATTATACTCATAGGCGGCGCGTGAGTGTGCAGAGTTTAAATCTATCAAGTCATATTACAGGAGAAAGGAAATACAGTTTAAACTGCAGTAGCCTATGCAGAGAAGACACCGACGTGTCGCACTTATCATTCATATCACATCATAATATATCATATATTTCCTTATCTGAGTCAGCTTTTTGCATGGAAGCCTGCCTGCAGACCTCCACTCTCAGGACACCTCCACTGTCAGTACAGGAAGTGACGATTCTGACGCGTTTTTTTTCCCGCCCACCGAAGGACTCGTTTGATGGAAGTTTTCAAATCACAATGGAGACTCATCACGGAGGTGATGAGTCCGCCCACCGTGCACTTTGGGTCGGCCTTGGTCAAGCCCTTTTGACCCCCCCGCTCAAATGACACCATGGAGGAATGTAACGGGAGTTGACAGGGGACTCTGCCCGCCTCACGAGTGCCTATTTTCGGACACTTTTTTTCACTTTTCCCCGGTTTTATTATTTTTTTTTTTTGTGGCTATTTTACCCGGGGACATTGCCCGGTCTCGGGTCCCCCCCCCCCACTCATCCATATATTAACGGATTTTGACAATTTTTGTTGCATTTTTCTCCTCTCCTCTCACTGATCGAATGGCAAACGCGACCCACTGTCGGAGGGCCTCCGCGCCGGCCCGGCCTAGTGCCGGTGCTCTGGCGGTCGGTTCCTCCGAACTGCGGGTTCGACTCTGATTGCCGGGAGGGTGTGCTGCGTTGGGGTGGGGGACTTCCCCCACTCTGCGTGTCTCTTCCTTCCCGGGCCGGCCGATATGAAGCGTGACCAAGACGCACCGTACAGGGCAGGCCCGGTTCTACGGGGGTGCATAAGGGTGCATTGCACCCTCAGTTGAGTCGTTATGCACCCTCATTTGAAAAACGAAAAGTGAAAACAAAAACATTTAAAAGTGAAAAAAATGTAATAAATCTAAAGTGAAAAAAGAATATTACATATATAATAACAATAATAATAATTGTAGTAATAATAACAATAATAAGAAGAATATAGTCAATGATGGACATCAGAAAATGGTTAAAACAACCAGCTGTTATCGCCAGCAGTAACACTGCATCTACTACTGCAGGAAATAATAGTTCAGATCATGGGGACATTACGTTACCCGCGGCCACTGTCATGGACACTAACGTCCTCCCGCCTCGCCCACGGAGGCGGAGCAGCCGCAGCCGTCTTCGTTGCCCCAAACACCGCCACCCGTCGGTGGCCCGCAAGTGCCAGAAGACCTCAGCAAAACAGAGCCTGCACAGGTATATTTAAAAAGGTACCCAACTCGCCTGTACAGTGGGGTAAGGCGCTCATTTTGCAGCTCATGGTTTCAAAACAGAGATTGGCTGGAATATTCATGTGAAAAAGATGCCATCTTCTGCTATGCCTGTAGACATTTTGGTTCAAGTACGTCAGATGCCTTCACCACAACTGTACCAGAGTACCAACCGCTGTCTCCTGGTACTCATCTGAGTAACTCACTCACTAAAAATGAAATACTATATGACAGTAAAACAAGAATACAGTTTAAAAGGGGAGTGATTTGTAAAATATCCATAAAGAAAAAGTAAATCTGTTTACAGTTCTGTTTCATATGGGTGTTGAGATGTATCCATAGATCTCTTCATTTTGCTCTCAAAGTGCACCAGATTGATGCTTTTCACTTCAATATTTAAAAGAAAATCTTCCCGGGGGAGCATGCCCCTGGACCCCCCTAGAGGAGATGAGGACTCCCCTAGAGGGTGTTAGGTCCACTCCCCACTTATAAAAATAGCACTTTGCCCCTGCACCCTCTCTAATATCAGATGCACCCTGAGTCATTTTGTTCTGGAACCGGGCCTGGTACAGGGGTCCCACTGGTCCCGCAGCGGGGTGAAGGTTCCCAGCTGGAACCTCCCCACCTCCGCCGCGGTGCACCCGGCAAACACGGTTGTTTCTCGAACCTTCCACTGTTGTCTAGCGGGTGTAACTAAAATACAAGATGTCGTATTTATATATATAAATAAATATATATCTATATAATAAGTGTCAGTACGATTTTATTTTGTATTTGCGTGCATTTCCTGTTCGGAAAGTGGCGCTGCGGCTATACTGATAGTAACATCAATACAAGGTGTCCGTATATATCTATATATATATATATATATATAGATATACATATGTATATAATAAGTGTCCGATAAGATCCGTCAAGATCCGATTTCATTTTGTATTTGCGTGCATCTCCTGTTTGGAAAGTGGCACTGTACTGATAGTGGTGATTTTATTTTGGAATTCTTAGCGTGCACTTCCTGTCCTGAGAGTGGAGTTGTCCTGAGTGGAGGTCTGCACCGGAACTGTCCTGAGAGTGGAGGTCTGCAGGCAGACCCCTCTCGCTTTTTGAGCCGTATCTGGCCTTGCAACACTTACATTGTCACATACTGTATGCAAAAGTATTATTTTAAGCAACACATTAAGTTGACGAAACACTCAACTCAAATGTAATTAAAGTCAGATCCACTCGTGTCTTAGATGGGGCAGTGATATCATAACTGTTGTACGCTTTCAAACACTCGGTAGTTGTTTTTTAACCAGTTGTTCTATATTCACCTTGCAGGTGCAACTATGTGGCTTGTATCCTGGATTATATGTTTAAATCATGGATGTTTAAAGTTCATATTTGTCTAATATTAATTTACTAGGCTACACTTGTCCCTGTTTGTGATTGGTCAAATGTAGCTAACCCCGCCCCTTTCACATGAACACGCTCTCAGCTGGAAAGAGAAACCCTGGCTTGATTTACCGAGTTGATAACCACTGTCGTAGGACTGCTTAGCGAGATCTCGTTTGTTAGGGTTAGTTAAGATAATAATACAGGGCACAGGTGGCTAGCAGCGCTAATGTCAAAGACACAAACATTATACATTATATTTTTTATTTTACCAGGATGCAGTGACACAAATATTTGGGAAGGCTTAGCCTTCCCTAGCCTACAGCACCCGCCGCCCCTGATTATACTCTGAATTTATTGTCAAATGTTCATTTTACATATACATATTTTTCCATATTGTGATATTTAAATGGGAAAATAAATTCTTATAATTAGTGTGATATGATATTGTGTGATTTTAATATCAAGCATATTTTCTTGCCATAACAAAAATGAATATAGGGAAGGCAAGACATACAAAATCTAAACAACATTGCAAATAGTGTATTTTAAAAGATGGAGGACCAAGACAGTTTAATGCCCAAAAATATTGACTGCACAACTAGTATATATGTACGCCTCACTGATAACCAGCACACAGACACTGGAGTTGGTACGAAGGGATTTTATCTGAGTGTAATGCTTCAGGAGTTTATTATTTTTGTCACGTTGATCATTTTTCATCGTGTTGGTAGAGCGCTTTATTGATGAGAAATTCAGATATTTGCCACCCTCAAAGGAATCTATTTAATCTGACTTTCAACACTGATCCTCTAACAAGCATAATCATATCGAGCTTTTCTTCACAGCTGGTTTCAAAGGATGAGTGTGTTTCAATGAGCAATACATGATTATGAGTCCTTTTTTAAGTTAAATATGTATTTGAAGCACAAACTGAAGAGGGAGAAAGAGCCGGCAGCATTTTAATTCTCCCATCAACCCATCCTGTGAATCAGTATTCTCTAAATGCACGCTCACGTCTCTTTGGGCCACATTCGTTCATATTGACAAGTATACTACCAGAGGGTTTTTGTGCTAGATTGTACATCATATGGAATGTGTAGGATCAGGTGACACACACACACACACACACACACACACACACACACACACACCACACACACACACACACACACACACACACACACACACACACACACACACACACACACACAACACACACAGAAGACATACCATATATACACACAAAGAGTCTCCGGGGTGTTGAAGCAAAATGTGAGACATATTTCAGCATGACAGCTTTTTCCCACTCCTCTGTTTTACAGTGATATGTCACTCTGACACTTGATAATCCCCCATAGTTCCACATCACAGGTCAGTAGCTCATAGTATAAAACACACACACACACACACACACATACACATACAAAAGATAAAACTCTTTAAAGCCTGAGCTGAGAGGCAGCGCATCGCTAGTGCCTCCAATGGGAAAAGAGTTTCACCCCTTTATTAGCTGATTTATGTCCCCACATTTTCTCCCATAGCAAGCAGGCTTTTCTCATAGATCACACACACACACACACACACACACACACACACACACACACACACACACACACACACACACACACACACACACACACACACACACACACACACACACACACACACACACACACACACACACACACACATACACCGGTGCTAAATCACAGGACTCTCACCGACTGTAATAGGTTTAGATTACCGAACTGACTGACTACTTCCTCCTTATTCATTCAGCGTTTCTTTCTAATCCTCTTCCTCCTGCTATCAGAGCCAAGGCCTCGGGGGTTCCTGGTTCTTTACACTCCCAGTGCGACAGAGGGTGGGAATAGCCACACACATACTTAACAGAAGCAGCGGTACAGTAAGGGGGTCTACGCATCAACAGGGAAGATGTGAAAACTATGCTGCACGGCATTACTTTGGATGTGATGTGCCTGTGTAAACATAATATTCAATAAAACATCAAGCACTCTGTTCTCAAGTGCTGTTGTGCGTCCTGCCCAGATATTCTCCAGTTAATAGTTTATTCAAGCCTCCACAAAATGTAATCTTAACAGGTGTCTGAAGATGGTCGGGGTCCAGGAGGAGACATCCAGGATTAGATTCAGTAGTTTAATGGGATGCTTCATTTCATTTCAGGGAGAGGTTTACAGTAATTAGTGTGGTGTTGTCTGTGAGTTCTCCAACAGGATTAAACTGATATTTCAGTTTATTATTAAATTAGGTACATGTTGGCATGTTATGTGTCATGTTATTTAATTTCCTGTGTATTAACTCCCTAAACAGCAAACTATAAATAATCTTGAATTGTTCTACTTTGTGGTATTAGTGTAGAGTGATGTCCTTTGTTCCATCAACTAAACAAAATTCCAAATCTGTAAAGAAATATTAATCACTAGAAGGACTCTGAGTTCATTGTATGGTTGACCTGGTCTTCTCCCTGCTACAGTGTCATGACAATTGGACCTTAAAATGTGTCAACAATCCTGCAACAAAAAACAAAACAAATGAAAACATAACACTTGCAAAGGTTAAAATGCTTATTAGCAGAATACCAATGGAAAGCATGGCTAACACCGGGAGGTCACACACACCCAAACAATTCCACAGATGCTGGGTAACAAAACATTCCCCACAAAAGAATATAACGTACGGCCACTGCTGTTCTGTTGTGTTAAATGAGGAAGACTATTTGCATTGAAATGTTCCATGTCCGTGTAAAATGAAACAGGAAATGGTGCAGCGAGCGCTCAGTTTATCACTGGTTTAGATCAAAAAGATGAACCGTTGTGCATTAAATCTGTGGTTTTTTTTCTCCCTTTAGACACCAACGAGTGTGAAATGAGTATATGCGTCCACGCCCGCTCTTGTCGAAACCTGATCGGTGGATACCTGTGTGACTGCCTTCCTGGATGGACGGGACCTAACTGTGACATCAGTGAGTTTAAAAGGGCAAGGAAAAGAATAAAAGAAGGGAGAAGTGTTAGTCCTGTGGCGGTGAGAGAAAGATGAAAAGCCTCAGTGGATTGTGTTAGAAAAACAGTTCCCCTGCGGCCCAGAGACCCTGCAGGCTGTAGATCATTTTACTCCGAACTGAGTCATATTAACCATCTGTCACAGGGTATCGCTGCAATACACTTAAAATGTAACACTAATCAGGAGTGGGTGAAGATTTGTTTTTTACCATTATCTCCTGAATCTTTTCTGTATTGATGTATTGCTGTATAAAGGTGCAATCTCACATCCTGGCAGTAATGCACAAGGTTATCATTGATTTTTCGCTCAATGACACATATATTGTTGTTAACAGTTGGCCTCTAAAAGACATATTCTGTCTCTGTGTGACAGGTTAATATAGTGTTTCTGGTTCCTCTGCTTTCTAGGGAACAGCAGCTGTCAGGGCTTGTGTTTGAACGGCGGTCGCTGTGAGGTGAGAGTCCTGCTCGCGCTGCCTTTCTCTATCTGTCTAATTTGCCTGTTGTCTCTGCACATCAGTCACAGCACTGACCTGCTTCACTGTCTTCCTCTCTTCATTTCATATTCACTGTTGTGTCACCTTTCTTTCTGTCATTCTGTTCTATAAAATGCTCACATTGCTAGTGAAAAATAGTTATTTAAAAGGTTTTTCTCCTTCTCCTGCCTTTTCCCCCCTTTTTTAAATAATCTTTTAAAAGGATTGTATTTTATAGAAATATATAACACATACTCTATACTCTCCCTCATAGGACCAGGTATCAGGGTCCAGATGCTTGTGTCCACCTGGTTTCTTGGGGAAATATTGCCAAAATCGTCAGAGTCCGTGTGACAGTGCCCCTTGTCTGCATGGAGGACAGTGTGTGGAGAAGGACGGGAGGACCATCACCTGCAACTGTCCCACAGGATTTTCAGGATCCTTCTGCGAGGTTGGAAAACCTTCATTGATGTTAGCTTAAGGCTAGCTTAATCTGCTAATCATTTTAGACAAACAGTTTAAAACTCTATAGAAATGTGCAGTGGAAGAGGAGATCCAAAAAAAATTCAATTTGGAAAATATATGTACCCTTGTTTGTAGGAACAATAATAATAAGACTATCTGTCACATTACTTATATTGTGCTTGATGCCAGGCCTAAAACAACGCGCCCTAAACTAAGCAACCCTAATAAAGTAAAGAGGGTAAATAGTGAATACATAACAGTTAATCTAATAGTACATTTAAAGTTACTCATCATGTTGTTTTAGCCTGAGCCTTAATAAAAAATCCCAAAACATCTGCAATAAAAACGGGTACCTTCAGATGATGCTCCAACCAGGGAAGCACGTTAAAAAGCTTATCTATGTTTGCTTTGTCACCAACCTGAGAAATTGATTTACAGCTTTTTTTCTCTCCATGGTCTCAGATTGCGTTGGATCCGTGCAATCCCAACCCCTGCCAGCAGGGGATGGCCTGTCACAGCACAGAGGGCAGGTACACATGTGCATGCCCAGAAGGCTACTATGGTCATGAGTGCATGAGCCTCAAAACCCCCTGCATTGGACAACACTGTCCAGGTGAGAAAACGATGTGTGTGTCTTAAAAAGAATATAATTTTGAACTGGAGTCTGGTCTAAAGCTCTGCCTGTGTCTACAGGTGCCATGTCTGACACGACTCACGGGGGGGTCAGCTTCTACATCATCCTGGTGGGCGTCATAACTTTAGTGATGGTGTGTGGTTGCGCCGCCTGCGCCTTCATCCTGTCACATCTCCATCGAAAGCGGAAAAAGCAGCAGGCCGTCCCACAGGAAGAAGGCATCAACAACCAGAGGGAGTTTGTCAACCTCATCAGAAACGTGGACCGTCCCGTTCCCCTCCTGCCCCCCGCCGCCCCGCCAGCACACCCCCCAGCCCCTCCCGCCCCCATATCACGTTGCTATGAGGAGATTGAACTGACGCTGCCGCCCTCCCCTGCATCTTCACACCCATCTCCAGCACTGAAGCCGGCACAAGGCCCCAAACTGGACATTTCAAACCGGGAGAGGGCGAAGTTGAACAACTTCCACTACACAGAAACCCAGGAGCTGGAGGCCTGACCTTTGAACTTCTGGGCCTCTGAAGAGCCTTTTTATTTTATTTTGCGTTCTTCGCAGTCTCTCGCGCACAGGATCCTGTTTCTAGATTCTTGCACTGTGTCTCTGCTGCAGCCCTGAAAATGCGGTGACCCTATGACCTTTATGTGATACACCTGGCTGCTAAGTAGGAGGGTCCGTAAATCTTATTGTGATGTCATCTCTGACTTTATTTACTATGAGAAGCAGCAGCATGTTTGACTGAAAAACTCATCACACTCTTGATTTAATCTGGAGTTTTTAAGACTTGCCTCGCAGTGCCTGAGATGCTGTAAAGAGGAAAGAGGAAGGACCTCGGAGCCTCTCCCCTGTCTCCTGGTCCATCTGATCGGTGTCCAGAATCACCTTTCTGTTTCAGACTTCACAGACAGAGAGATCAATGAATGGATGCTTATTTAACACTCAGTGTATGTTTCTTGTCTGGTTGTGTGTAAGTGTGTGAGAGCATTTTTATTATGAGTGTGGGGTAAAAAAAAAAAAGGACAGTTTACTTCAAGAAAAGAAAACAAAGTTGATATACTTGTCAAAGAGGATGCATACTCCTGCTCCAACTGTTTTAAAACTATACATTGTTGCCTGTATTGTCTCTGTAATGCTACAGTTTGTCAAAAATGTATGATTTTTTTTCATACTTCTGTGTAAAATAGCTTTTTTGTACATGGATATATTGTACATATTGCCCTTTTTGTACTGTGTTTGGTCTGAAAGTATCACTGTATTGCTTTGCTCTGTTTGTCCCATTTCGCGTTCCATTTGGAGCAACCAGCACATGTGGATTGTAATAAAAGTGCATTTACCAACTCTATTTTTTTTTTTTACTGTAATCATTCACTACCATTATTCTCCTGAGACCCAGAAAGAAAAAGGTTTCAAATTTCCTTTTTTTTTTAGATCACACAAGTCTTTAGGGTCTTTAACCTTGAAAAACTAAAGAAATATATTTTTGTTTTATTGTGTGTCCTCTGTAGAGGACATCAGGTGTTAGTTATGTGAAGCATAGTATACAAACAACATTAACATACAAGTACATTTAGACAACATTAGAGCACAACAACTCAATGCAACACATATTGTGCCCTTATTTGTAGTACTCCATGCTTTTTTGAAATGCAGAGATACATCTGACACTTGAGTCACTTGATGTGTGTCCCACTGCATCCGTCTGCCATGAACCCTACAGAAACCTAAGTGTTAGTTTTGGCCCATAGTGGACTCCATTTGTGTTGTGTAAAATGGGGGAAATAAAAAGTTAGCAAATCCCCATGTCCTCCTCAGAGGACATTCATAAATTGTTTTAGTTCTGAAAACTCACTACACTAACTCCTAAGATGTTCCCTTACTATAATTAATTAAAAATATTGAACTCACAACACTGGTAATTACAAACTTACCATTTCTCTTTCTATAAATAGTGCTTGTGTTGATGGACGTCATTTTGAAATACAAAGAAATTGTCTTTTTCAAAGCCACACCCCCACATATGTCACATGTCTGAAAAGCCCAGGATGTCCTCTGTGGAGTACAATTGGACTTAATGCTGTGGCGTGTATAACCTCATAGTTATGGACCAAAACCAAATGTCCTCCACAGAGGACAAAAATGAATAGGTGGGTCTCAGGAGATATAGTCACTGCTAGAGTCAAGTGTTAGCACTGTCATATAGAGATGATTAACTAATGTCTTTGCAGTAGTACTCCTCACTGTCTTTATGCATACAACTGCTGATGCTATGCCAAATGTGTTGTTTATATCATTGTCACGGCCCCTAACAAGCATATTTTCCAACGGAGCAACAAAAAACATTCTGCACTCTTTGAAGTTTTCATTTTCTTTATTTATTAGCTAATCATTTAGGTGAGTTACATGCTCAAAAGTTGTGAAGGCTGAGTTGTCACAGTGCAACTCTTTTTTTAAACTTCCAAAACTCACACGACAGAATATTACAGTTTGATGATGCAGAAGATAATTAAAAAAAAAAAATGTGAAAACTATACTATACTATACAATGGTCTTAGTATAAAATGGTCTTCGTATAAAAGGCTTCTTACCTTCTATGTTTGTGTGTGTCAACTTTTTGGATGTTATGACAAGTTATCTAGTCAGAGGCCCAAGGCAGGATATTTCATGACGATGGCACTAGCAGTAGGTCAGTGGGACACTCAATGCACAAGGTCTCTCTTTCTCTCGCGCTGACACTCATTCACAAACAATGATGACAGTGCCAATAAAAAATGTAAACCCTCCAGGTTCACCCAAGTCTTCCTAGAAGAGAGTGTCTTTGCCAGGACTCTCTTGAAAAAGAGATTTCTTATCTCAATGAGACCTTTCTGGTTCAATACAAATAAATTGTAAACTGTATGTCAGAAATGTGTCTGTTGTTGGAAAGGTGGTAAAACGTATCGTCTAACTTTTAACTGTTATTGTGATTTTATAATAAATGTTGATTTCCTAATATTAGTTTTCTTTTTTACTTAAACAAAAACAACTTTATAATATTGAATCAAAACATAAGTAGAAAACAAAAACCTACATTTGGTTTTGTACTGTAGGTAAACTCCAATACAATTAATTGATGTGCCATGTGTATGTTGAAATCTAAATGTGCTGTAAACTGTGTGTGAAAGGAAGGGTTGTGTGTGTCGGGGCAATGTAGAATGGCTGCAGGGTTGAAACAGTGACAGTTAATGGGCAAATGGATGTGACAAATGTGACCTTTGACCTCCAGCAGCTGGCTGGAAATGAACACGGGCTTCCTGTCACCACCCTGGTCAGGAGGAAATGTAGGGAATAAGACTTTATGCACATACACACACACACAAAACACACACATATGCGTACACTACTGTAGAACCGTCTCTACACCTGCTGTACTCATGGACAGATTAGGATGGAGATACATATGGAGACATATCTATCATAGCTGCCTATTGCTCCTAATACAGTACTACTTAACAGTGTGTCCTGTGCTGAGTACATGTGTGACGATAAAAAGTTAAATTGTTTGATAATAGATTAGAGCTTTCATATTGTCGGGTTCGTTGGTGGTGCAAAGATCTGTACCTGTTAACATTTTGTCAAGTGATGACAGTGGTGCAGCTGATACTTGCAATTCATTGTGTTCCCTTGATGACGGCAGAACATCACAGGTTGAGTCAACTATAAACAGAGTCTTTATGCCTGTCTCTTTCCTTGACTCTCCTGACAGCCAATGATGAGAGAACGACTATAAAGTAATCTTGGGTTTAAGCAATGATTCAATTGTCATTGGGGATGAAAAACCGAACCTTCATACAAGGCTGATTGCATATGAAATAGACTGTTGGAATTGCATGCTGCATTGTGGGAGCAGAGTCCTTCATTATAATTCAGGACTGAGTATTTGTCCCAAAAATAGAGATTTGTGGTGAGGTCATTGACTATAACTCAAGGCAATTTACTTGATTATACCAGGAGAATCTCAAACGTTTCCTGTCTTACAGGGACACCTTATGGCCACAGCAGGTACACACACACTTTAAAACCAATGGCAGTGTTTGATAGAATGAAGGTAAAGGCTGCATTCATTTTCATTTTCTGATATGGTCATCAAATATCAGATCCATAAATTACACATGGCCATGTTATTTCAAATTACATCCAAAGTCGAGAATAATCTTTGGTATTCTTTTTTAAAGCTTATTTTATCCTTAATAACCTTTTAAGTGCAATGGTGCGGGTCCTTAAAACTAAAGAGCATCTATTTACTTTTAGGAATCATACCTTTTACAATATCAATCAATCAATCAATGTTTATTTATATAGCCCAATATCACAAATGTTACATTTGTCTCAGTGGTCTTCACAGTGTGTACATAATATCAGTATGACAAACGACACCCTCTGTCCTTAGACCCTCACATCGTACAAGGATTATTTGACTGATCTATTAATATGTACTACTACTTTATCCTAATATTATTTTATCTACATGTTGTATAGTTTTATAGCCTAAATCTAACTTGTTACTGAAGCTAAAACTAGGTGGGGTAAAAAGTACAACATTTGCCCCCTTCATGTAGTAGAAGCATAAAGTAAAATACAATTAAATACTCATGTAAATCTGCTACTGTAAAGCAGCCAACAAGTGTCTTAAAAATATATTTAGGCGTAACAAAACTAAACGTATAGCTACCTAGTTACTTTCCACCACTGATTATGACATCATCAAGTTACAAGTGAAACTTTTAATCTTAACAAACAATCAAATCAAATCACAAGCATTATGGTCACCGCCATGGATGTACCATTATTTAACCACCTCAGGAGTATTTATTGTGGCTCACTCGCTATTGAGTGAGTGCAGCGCCCCCTCAGGCTGAGATAAGTAAGCCTGAGCGGCAGCGCTAGAAGAGGGAGGCGTGTGACAGAAGCACACGGCTAACAGCGAAAACAACCCAAGTGTGTGTGAGTGGTCCCTTAAACAGGTAAACCGACACCTTTGAAACGGGTTTGCAAGTTCCGTGTAGCTGTATTTCATGTTTTGTTGTTGTCGAAGAGACTACGTTATATGCGTTTTCTTAACGTCTATGCAAACTAGCTAAGATAGGCTAGGCTAGCTGTGATGCTAACTGGCTAACAGCGTTACAAGCGTTATAAGGCCCGGAGCTGCATGCGCAATCAGGCCATGTTTGCTAACAAACTGCTCCATAACTTTGAAAACCTTGCCTTTTCGTCTTATTCGAACTTAACGTGATATGAATGGTGCGTTTGTATCATAATTACATTTTGTTTACAATGCGACAGTGCTGTGGTAAAATGTGTTAGAGAACGATAATGTATACAGAAGTTAGCCAGGTTAGCACTTTGGCTGCAGACGCTTCAGCTGCTATTTATAACGCGAGTAAATCAAACAAACCCAAATAATGCATGTGATAAAAGTCAGAGGCCATTAGCTCGAAATCAAAGCTCACAATAACACGGTTGTGTTATTTGATCATTGCATCAGCTGCAGTTGATATTATAATAACTCTGTGAAATGCATTGTAAATATTAGAAAACATTGACATAGAAGTCTTAGTTGTTATAGTATCTCAGAAAAATGACCACAGGTTTGCACAAAAGGTGCTCAATGATCCACACAATTAACATAATATTTATGTAATTAACATGACATTAATGCAAGTAAAATATTAAGACAGTTGTCAATATGAAAAAACATCACAAAATGTGTGTATAACCCAAATTGCATATCTAAATAATATAAAGTACTAATAACATTGGGTATGAATATATATTCATTCATATTCTGTCTTATGTTTTAGCATTTTTTGCATTAACCAAAGGTACTGTAAACGACAGTAGGGAGTTTTGTTAAAAGTATTTTTTATCAAATAAATGCTGTGGGAGCCAGACATTATGTTCTTCCAGTGTTGACCTACATTTCCTAAAGCACTTGTGTTCTTTCTCCTCTCTCCTGTATTTCTTCCCTGTTTGCCTCTACAGCAACCGTGCCCCGCCGCGCCCCCACCCCCAGCGGAGCCGTCATGTGGCAAGAGGCCCGCAAACATGAGCGTAAGCTCCGTGGCATGATGGTAGATTACAAACGCCGAGGAGAGCGACGGCGAGAGTACTACGAGAAGATCGTAAGAGACTCCTATCATGATCACTCCTCATTATTATTTTTGGTCCACCTTGATATTGTCTTACCTGCCCAGTGCCCAATATTAATGTGCAGGGTGTCCGAGGGGTCTTAAAAAGTATTAAAAGTTGATATATCAATTTAACGAAAATTAAGGCTATTAAAAAGTATTAAACGGCATTTTCCAAGGTATTAGATTTTGTAGCTTGTTTTCAATAAGTATATAAATTGTCCAAAGAGGTTGTATTCTACAGTTTGCCTGAATGTAATCATTGCATAGGTGTGTAGTGTGATTCTGTGTAGTTCATTTATGGCATCCCGTTGGGTTTGGCGTCATCTGAACAGGACATCGCACGCTCACTGCTTAGTAGCGCGCCAAGGTCCGTTTACGCCGTTACAACATCGTTATTGGAAAATGCAAGTCTGCGTCCAAATGGTTGGAAGATAAGGAGGAAGGACAATCCGTACTGTATATAGTAAATGTGAGGTAAAGTGTGTCGCCAATGTAACCGGTTAAAACTCGAAGTGGTGATGAGGTCTTAAAATGTATGGAAAGGGTCTTAAATAAGGTCTTAAAAGGTATTCCATTTGACTTCAGGATTCCTGCATATACCCTGATGTGGTCAATGTACTCACTGCTCATACTCCGCTAAAGTCAAACCAACGCACAAGGAAGAAATGTAAAATCCAATAGTTTATAAACTGCACTCAGATCTCGACTTTCCCGATCCTGCCTCAGTTGTTTAGTCTGTTGAGGCAAGGGTTTGAGCTTTAGGTTGGCTGGTGCGTTGGCTGAGACTCCTCCACATCCTGTTCAATTTTAGTTTCTGCCACTTGGTTTTTTGTTATAGCTTTCTTAATAGAGCCTATATAGTTCTTAGATGACAGATTCATACAATGAACTCTCTTGAAACACCATTTTGAAAAATGTAGAAAAGGTTATGCAGCTGAGTTTGGGCTCTCCTTAAACAAAAATAACAGGACATAAAGGGATATGCAGTAGTGTTGTCACGATACCAACATTTTGGTTTCGATACCGATACCAAGTCAAGAATTGCGATTCCGATTCTTTTTCGATACTTTTCTTAAAAAAAGGGAAACAGTCTTAAATGTAATTATTGTGCTTTATTTCACACCAGAACCATAACAGAAACTTTTAAACAATGAGAACAATAAACAAAATAAATGACAAGAATTCGTATTAAATAAAATTAAGCATCATCTCAAACAACTTTTTTGTTTTATAAAATATAATTTTTTTATATTATATTAACATGTAATAGTACAGTAATATAAATAATTATTGACAAAATGTATATTGCAGATGTTAGCCACATTGGTAAGTTAGCTAAAAAGATAGCCATATTAGACAGTTATCATTGCCATGAATTGCCTCGTCAAACTACGAAAACGTTCGTTTGTCACAAAATAAATTACACTTGTTTGACTTTGCTTCTGGCGTCTTTTTTGTCAACAAGCCGAGGCGCAGCGGCAGTTGCACTCCCACTTGCAGCCATGCTTCTCGTTTTCTCAAATGCTCTGGCAGCTGGCGCGTGGCCGCGTGCACGAGAGAGGGGAGGGACTTAGAACGTGCTTGAGAGGGGCGGGACTGCAGGCACGGCTGCAGTGCAGGGAGTGGGAGCAGAGCGCTGAACACACACGGCTCTTATTAAAACGGCGCTTTCTCACCGGAGTACTTTTCCCCGTCATTCTGAAAGTACCGATACTAATGAAATGGAGGAATCGTACCGTTTTTAACGGCAGGGTATCGCGGTACCTTTCAAGTATCGGTACACCGTGCAACACTACTATGCAGTCCATATCATTATCTGGTTAGTTATTTTATTTAGTTGGTTATAAGTAGGGATGCTCCGATCGATCGATCGCCGATATTCTCTGTGCGCGGCAAAACAAGCTCGCCAAAATAGGTGACTGGTGAAGGTGTCCGAAAATAACAATAAAATAGCGGTATGCAACGTGTGTGAAGCAGAAATCCTGCTGCTCCACCCGCTGTGACGGACCGGTGAGCGGAGCAAAACACACACTAAGAGTTAGACCGAACACACTTAGCTATTTTATCTACCTCTGGAACTAGCTAAACTAGTTATTAATATATTTACTCTTCACTGTCGGGTCACTCATTACTGGATCAGTGAGCTGCATGAGATGCTGTCAGGAGAGAGAGAGGAAAAGAGAGCTTTTCTGCTAAATTCTCCCGTGTTATTATCCAAAGTGAATGTAAACTTGAATAATGTACTTCATTTGAATGTAATAATTATGTTGGTTGTTGTTCGTGGAAGCGCCAGTGAATGAGCCCAATTAACTGAGTTTTAAACATCACTTTAAATGGAAGATCCCCATAGGCCCCGCCCACTCGATCGGATCGGCCCCAAAATTGGCGATCGGCGCATCCCTAGTTATAAGTTATATATTACATTTTATTGTCTTTTGACTGTCTCATTTTGTCTCAACAGAAAAAAGATCCAGCTCAGTTTCTTCAGGTTCATGGCCGAGCGTACAAGATTCATCTGGATCCTGCTGTGGCCACGGCTGCAGAGAGCCCCATCAACATGTGAGCGCGCACACACACACGCACACACACACACACACACACACACACACACACACACTGCCCAGTAGGGGTGTAACGCTTCACAAACATTTCGGTTCGGTACGTACCTCGGTTTTTAGGTCACGGTTCGGTAAGTTTTCGGTACAGCAGAAAAAATTATCACAAAACATAAAATATTTTTTGGGTTTTTTTTATTATTATTAAACTCAAATAAATACAAAATATAATAAAATAAACATTAAGGTGCAGCATTTCGATGAACTGAAATAATCTGTATTTGAACTTTACTGTAATAGTACTCACAAAACATAAACTATTAGTTTTGGGTTTTTAATTATTATTAAACTGAATATTCACTCAAATAAATACAAAATATAATAAAATAAACATTAAGGTGCAGCATTTCGATGAACTGAAATAATCTGTATTTGCACTGTACTGTACTAGTTCCTAAGCACCCAGCTTGACATTAGGCTTGTCATTGTATTTTCATGTTTTTTTAAAGAAAAAATGAACTTGTCCACATTGCTTGCTGAAAGGGCAGATCTGCTGGCACTAACAATGTCTCCTGCTGTGGAGAACACCCTCTCTCTAGGGACAGAGGTAGCAGATACAGCCAGGTAGCGCTTTGCTAACATGGCAACATAAGGATATTTGGTGTTTGTAATAGCTTTGGGTCTGATAGCTCGGTCTGAACTTTTTGCGAGTGGTGGAGGCTTAAATGCTAGCGGGAGTTGGGTTTGCACTTCAGTCTTTTTTCTTTTGGCACCGGTGATTAGTGCTGCGTACCTGGACTCACATTCAGGTTCAGGTCCGGACTCAAGTCCAGAGGTTCAGGTCCAGGTCCGGACTTATAGGTCCGGACCTGAACCCATGGCTTGTGTCAAGTTGTGTGAGTAACTAAAGTGAACTTATTGTGCGCTAATTATCAATTGAAAATTAACTCATAATCAACTCAAATTCAAACTCATCAGGTTTATTGTGCTCCCTTCCAACTTGTGTCTACATTTCTCTACAAAGTACAAATGTAAAAAAAAAACGTTTTGCCACTTATGGCGCGTTTCCACTGCAGCGGGTAGCCCCGTTTAAGCGTCCTTAACCGTCCTCAAGCGGCCAGGCCGGTTTTTGGTGGCGTTTCCATATAACCTAGTACCGGCCAGCGGGTACTTTTTCCCTCTTTTTCCGGCCTCATAAAATCGTGGTTCCCTCAGACCAGGGCCAGGGTTGAACTAGTGACGTCAACACTCTCGACTGCTGATTGGTCAGAGAGAATCGTCACAAGATCGCGCGCGAGTTCATCCCTAGCGTCGCATATCTAGAAGCAAGCTTGCAGCATTTTTATAAACAGCATTTTGTAAACGGATGAGCTACAAAAATGGCTACGTCTAATAAGAAAAGCACACCGTGGTCGACCGAGGAGGTGACGACATTCCTACATCTCATTGGGGATGATCAAATCCAGCGGGAGCTCGACGGAACAACTCGAAATGTGAACAAAAACAAAGCTGATCGCCCCGCCTACACTGCGTTGCTACCCCAGGTCCTAAACTGTAATGGAAATGCGCCACGGCCTGGGCCGGCCAGCGAGGCAGCCCGAGGCCAGAGCGAGGACGCTTAGGGACGCTTAAACGGGGCTACCCCGCTGCAGTGGAAACGCGCCATTAGTCTACAAATGACTTATGACAGCAACTACAGTGAACTACTACAAAGTTCAAACATTTATTTCATTTACCAAACTAAAGTAACCAAACAGTCCCTGAGCTGACTGAGCCTAAATCCCTAAAACGTTGCTGAAATGTAGAGTGTAGAGTAGACTATACGCATTACACTGTTACACACCTACTATACAGTATAGGCTACACTGTAGTGACTGTACAGTCAGAGTGTACTGTACTGTCTGTACACCATGTATTTTCTATAACTCTACATGTGTACATTATACAGTACATACTACATACATAGTGATGTACATACATACTGTTAGAAATTAAAATCAATGTTGATATGGCGTAATTTTGAATTAAATACACTATTTAATTTAAATCAGTTTTATTCTGAATAAACCGGAAGTTCACAATATTAACTTAATACTTTTATTCTGAAAATTATTCACTTCCGGTTAGCATTAGCATGTGGCGAAATGCTACGTTTTCAAACCGTGAATCTAAGGTGAAATGACATGTGATGTTGTACACTGAGCACACTGGGATTAGCACTGATTTATTGACGCTGAATAACGTTTATCAGGGAATGTTTAAATAACCACAGACACCAGAATATACGTCAGTGCTAGTTTTTTTGCGAGTCCAAGTACCGGTTCCCGACGTTCCGGTTTTAACCGGACTTGAACCGAAACTTTTTACAAGTCCAGTACCGGTTCGACGTACCGGTACGCAGCACTACCGGTGATGTTCACGTTCGGGTGATGCCTTTTCAAATGAGTGTGCAAGTTTGATGTATTGCCAGCCGCGTAACCAATTTTAGTTGAACAATGGCGACAAACAGCTTTGGTTCGGTCCACCTGTCTTTGTCCGTCATCCTTGTACGTAACTGCGAAACCAAAATGTTCCCAAACCGGAGACTTCAATGATGCTGGAGGATTTTCGAGCTCAACTTTATCTGCGTTCGCCATTTCGACATTTCCTCAAATTACTGACTAAATTTGAACGCATCCCTGTGACCAGCTCTCATAATATGCTTCTCGTCCAATGAAATGACTTGGTCGCTCTATGACGCATTGAACCCAATGTGAGCAAATTACTCTGAATGCTGCGACGCAGCACCTGAGATTACTTCCAACAAGTTGTTCACATTCTCAATTTTTTACGTTTAACGTTATATTCGTTCGGTACACACGTGTACCGAACCGAAGGGCCCGTACCGAATAATTTCGGTACGTGTACCGTTACACCCCTACTGCCCAGTTCTTTTGGGATGTTGCTGATCACATTATACCCCTTTCCATTGTTTGTTTCTTTAAGGATGCCATGGCAAGGAGATGCCAACAACATGATTGACAGGTTTGATGTAAGGGCTCATCTAGACTACATCCCTACATACACTCCTCCACTGCTCAGCACATCGTAAGTACCATTTGAGTCCAGACTCTGTCCGTTGTAAATATGTATGCGTTTTGGACATTTCAGGCTCTATATTAAAGTTGAATACAAGTCATGATGAATATTAGAAAATACCATAACTAACAAACACATTTTTTAGAGATCATGCTTAGCAATCTTTTTTTTTTTAACAAAATGAACATGTTTAGCCGTTACAAATTACATTACAAATGAGCTCGAGTAGGTGTAGATCTAGGAAAGAAAAATATATGTAGGACCTGGTTGTGCATCAGATGATTCATGTGAATTGATGTTTGGTAGGGCGCATTCAAAACATTTGGTGAAGTCTTTAATGTAAAGCAATAACAAAATGATTACTAATGAGGGGAATTGCTCTTCATGCAGTTGCAATACAAAGAGTGCAAATGTAAAAAGTCTCAAGGTAGTTACAACAATAAGAGTAAATGTATACAATGCCAAAATTAGGTTTTAACGTATGTTGCATTTGTGCAGTAGTAATTTGAAAGGTGCTGTTAATACAGATTTTGAGAGGTCTGTCCTTGATATTGCATTTTATGTCCTATAATTGCACATTACATCTCATATGGCCTCATGGACTCTTTGTCTCAAACAGGAACCCAGAGCAGGACATGGAGGAGAGGAAGTGCAATTATGAGCGATACAGAGGCCTAGTGCAGAATGACTTTGCCAACAGTGAGTACTCAAAACCCCATAGCTGAGAAAAATGAATTTAATTTGACTAAAGCATTACATTTACATGTTGTTTCCTGTTGCAACACAGTTAAGCACCTGTTATATGTGTTCTCAATGTGCCTATAATGGTGTGTTAGCCTGCCCTCAGTGGGTATGTTTTGCTGTTGTGTTCTCTATTTAACTCCCTGCTGTCCTCCTACAGTCTCTGAGGAGCAGTGTTTATACCAGATCTACCTGGATGAACTATACGGTGGTCTGCAGAAACCAAATGAGGACGAGAAGAAAAAGTATGTAATTTTAATTGTAATACAATGGTTGTTTCATCCCCACTGTCGATCGAAATGCATGATTCCTGGGGTTTCTTGGTTTGATAAATCCTTCCTCTCTTTGTGCAGACTGGCTGAAAAGAAAGCCACCATTGGTTACACGTATGAAGACAGCACTGTGATGGAGCCCGACCCCCAGTCAGACAAAGAGGAGGATGATTCAGAAAACAGCGAATCGGAAGAGGATGAGGGCATCCCAGATATTGGTGAGGAAATTAGTCTGGCATTAGTGAGATTTACACATCGGGAAACTTCGAATTTCAGAGACAAAAAACTGTTTTGCAGGACACACTACACCAATGTATAACAACCACTTTCAGTTTGCAAATCTTCCATTCTCTTAAAGAAAACAAAAACCCGTCTAAATACATATATATATATATATATATATATCCCTATATATATATATATTAGGGGTGTAACGGTTCACAAAAGTCACGGTTCAGTTCGTACCTCGGTTTGGGGGTCACGGTTCGGTACGGGTTCGGTACAACAAGGAAAAGCAAAAAAAAAGTCCCAAATGCATATTTTTTTTGCTGTTATTTATTTTTAACAGTAGTGCAAGTTTTGGTATGAAAATAAGGAACTCTAACATTTGGAATCATTAACTGTATTACACAGTTAAAAATAAACCACAAACAGTAACACACACACTCAGATGGCCATATTATTTATATTGGCTGATGTCAAACAAAAAGGTTAAATAAGCTGTACAACTAAAAAGAATGTCTTGAAAATATTAAAATAAATAATAAAGTGTTTCAATCACAAACAATAAAAGGCAATACAGAACTGTATAACATCTTCTGATGTCAAAATATAAAATAAATACAATGATAACTATAAAATAAAATCTGTACCTTTTTAGGAGCAATGTGTAATTAACTTGTGAGTGTGTGTGTGAGGCCATTATGCCTAAATAAAGGTACTCAAGCTTTACTCTATTTTCAAGTTTTTCTTCAAAAAGATGAGTTTGTCTACGTTGTCAGTAGTGAGGGCAGATCTGTTGGCGGTAACTATGTCACCTGCCGTCGAGAAAACCCTCTCGCTGGGGACTGAGACTGACTCGGATGTGATTGAGCATGTTTGACGTGTTACCACTAGCATACCGCACCGCTGTCGAACAACGTCGACACACCGTCCTAGTCCGATCCACAACTCGCACCCCATCATTGTTGTAGTCCACAGTAGAGATGTTAAGATTCACCGATTCGCATCGGTGCACCGGCATAAACGTTCAAGATGCGAGTGCACCGGTTGAAAGAGTGCACATCGGCTACAGTTTGGGTTGAACCGGGCTGAACTCGCGATGCATCGATTGCGTAGCGTCTTTGCATCGGTAAAAAACCGATTCATCATATAAAATTCCCTCATCTTGTCAACGCTCAGCAGAGACGATTTTTGATATTTGCTTCGCCACTACGGAGGCCGAGAGTCTCAGTTATCAACACACACGGAAGTTGAGGGGAAAGAGAAACACAGCGCACCGAAAAATACCTACAAATCAAACGTTTGGCAACACTTCGGATTGTTCAAGAAAGACGGTGTAATAGTCCTTTATGCTACATAGTTGACCGCAGGTCATGGAGAGTAATAAGGTATCCGTAGACCTTTGTATGAGGTATCTTTATTACTTAACAGGTCTACAGCCATGATACATAGATCCGTCCTAGATGCGGGCTTGCATACACACAGTATCACTCCGCAGCCGCACCCCATCAGTAACGTCCTGATGGTATATGTGCGCGGCACTATATACTACAGACGGTCAACTTGAAAAATCGCTCGCAAATTGTTAACGATTCCGAGCCGCTTTAAAGTACACAAGTAGTACGAGGAACTTAGCGACGCACATAAAGAGGCGACATGGGGTCTGCGGCTGAAAAGAGAAACATGAAAGTTAGACATACGAGTTAAATCACTCAGTGAGGTGTTCTGTCAGAGAGAGTGGTGTTTAGTTTACAGCAGCCTGTGACGGCCAATAATAATGTAAATGTCTTCCTTACTGTAAGCAGTTATGAAATACCTGTTTGTGAAAGGTTATTTGTATTCTTTATTGTTCATATAGAACCCACCGCTTTCTGCTCACTGGTGAGTTAGCCTCTGAATGAGTGTTAAGCACATCAGGCTGGCAGCTGTATGGGCATTGCACTATGGTAGCTGTTATTTTCACATTGTTAATCATGAGCAATGCATCCTTACATTGTTGGATGTGGACTGTGAGGTGTTATAGAATTGTACTCTGGAAAGCTTTTAAAGGCAACAAAATAAACGGCATGATGGGATGTGCAGTACCAAATATGTAAAGCACTTTTTTGTTAATGTATGATTTGCTGCATATAAGGAATAAAACAAAAATCCTCTGTCGTACCATATTGAAGTATCATTATTTTTGCATCGTGTTGAATCGCATCGTATCGCACCAAATCGCATAATGTTGAATCAAATCGTATCGAACTGTATCGCAACAGGGGTGAATCGTATCGTATCGCATCGCCTGGTGTTTCAAATGTATCGTTAATGTATCGTATCGTGGCAACGTATCGAGATGCGCATCGCATCGGCCTCAGTGATGGAGATGCACATCCCTAGTCCACAGGGAACCCGAAATGTTCCCACACACCTGATTTAAAAGAAGCAGGTTGGTCTTCTAGCTCCTGTGTGTTGTGTGAACTCGCCGTAGCTACTAACTTTTCTTCTTCATGTATTGTGTTCGTTTTGTTGTGTTTTGTTCTTGTTCTTCATTTGTTAATCACGGGCGGCTGGCTTTTAGGCGCAATACCGCCCCCTGGATTATATATACTGTAGTGTAATACTGCCCTGAGTGACAGACTTTTTTCCCACTCGTAAAAAAAGGCATATTCGCCGTGTGACTGCATGTGCCGAACCGTGACGGTACGGGACGAATACGGATACCGTTACACCCCTAATATATATATATATATATATATATATATATATATATATATGCAGTCCGTTTCTAATACGCAAAAAGACTGCAAAATGAGTCAATGATTATTTTTAGTATTTTATATATATATATATATATATATATATATATATATATATATAGGGATGGGCCCCGGGGCTGAATTATTAAAGACCGTGGTACCGTTAAGCTCCGACGTTATCTGTCTTGTTATCGGTACTGGAGACATCTAAAAAATATGTCATGTGTATTATGCTACACAAACATTATATTGCAGTTTTAGTGTCGCCAACTCCGTCTCTAATACGCAAAAAGACTGCAAAATGCGTCAATGATTATTTTTAGTATTTTTCAATCTCTCTCCCCCGCCTGCTTGCGAGGGGGCGGGGCAGTTTACACACATGCAGCAGCAACACACACACACACGGAAGAGATGACGGTGAGAACGCGCTCCGAGGTGTGGTTAAACTTTACCCGTCTCAATGTGGACAATGCTCGTTACCAATAGTGCAATAAGAGTTTAGCATGTAAGGGCAGTAACATGCAATTTGTCGAAACATTTAGCAAAAGTGCACCACATCCAGACAGATAAATGCACCGGGTTCGACTGTCTTTATAGTAGCTCTGTAGCCCCATCCACGAGTAACGTTTCCTCGTCAGGTGTTATGTATGCTAGCAGCAACACACGGAGTTAACTACATTATACAAACATGGGTTAATGATTAGAGGAAACTGAGTTATTTATGAGATATCGTCCTTCTGTTTGTATCCAACAGTTAAAATGTTCGAATTACATTGAACCAGAACTGTCCCCCTTTTTGCTTGAACAGTGAAGAAAATTGGATATGTTAATGATATATTGACGGCAAAACTCAAAATGTCCCCGGTTTTAATTTTGAAAATCTGGTCACCTTACCATAAGGAGCACGTACACATGCCGCAGTGTTTGCGTGGCTGTGTCTTTAGTTGTAAGCCCAGTGGTGATCTGTTGTTATTAGCATCTGGTTAGCTAGCTATGCTAACGAATTTAAAGAGCTTTTCTACAACCAGGTGGAAGAGAGCTCTCTCCTGAGAGGCTCAAATAACCTCAGCTCAGTGAGGTTAAGGCACACCTTGATATGATCATTATAGTTATTAATGAGACATTAGAGACTAAATGAAAAACGGGTATAAAATACTATATGACGGTAACAAAAAAGTTGTTAAAAATAACAAGAATAGAGTTTAAAAGGGGAGTGATTTGTAAAATATCCAAAAAGAAAAATCTGCTTACAGTTCTGTTTCAGATGGGTGTATCCATAGATCTCCTCATGTTGCTCTCAAAGTGCACCAGATTGATGCTTTCAACTTCAATATTTAAATAAAATAAAATAAATCTTCCCGGGGGAGCATGCCCCCGGACCACCCTATACCTCATTCACACCAACGGTGTTTCAGGGTCGGTTCGGAGCTGGAGCTTGAAAAGCACCGGGTTTTCTTGTTCACACCGCAGCGGAGCAGCCTCTTAGCTCCGGAATCCGGTTAATTTCAAGCACCAAAAAATTGTCCGTCCACAGAAAAAGCACCACATACGTCACGCTTACGTCGAGGCGGGGGCAGGGGCGGGATCAACTCCTGAACAACAACAAAAAGCCGGTGTTTTATCCAGTTTGTACACAACGATGGAGAAACTTCACAAGCAGCAGTGGTCCACTGAAGAGACCAGCTACCTACTGGGAATCTGGTCTTCCGAAGAGGTACAGAGGAAGCTGGAGCACAATCGGCCATTGTTGTTGTTGTTGTCGGTGTCAGCTGTGAGGGGTTTCCGCGCGGTTTGGCTTTATGAAGCAGGCACGCAAACGGTTACGTCATGACGCAAATGATGACGCAATGACGCAGCACCAGTCGGACTCTGGGCGGTGTGAAAAGAGCCGGAGCTAAACCGAAGAACCGGTTCTGAACCTGAAAAGCTCTAGCACGGAGCTTGAACCGGAGTTGCGTTGGTGTGAATGAATAGTACCTCATTCACACCAACGCAACTCCGGTTCAAGAGGAGGTTAGGTCCCCCCGACTTAAATCATGTTCACATGGATAGGATACTAAATACATTTGCACACATCTTGTGTCCATATCTTTCTGTTTTGGTGGTCATGCCACAACCGTGCACATGTATGCATGCGTCAGTCATGGTAAGATATCTGCTTGTTCTTTGCACAGCATGAAAGAAAGGCCAAATGAATGGGCTGTGATTTTAGTTTTTTTTTTTTTAAGCAGAGGTTGAGTTCAATCATTTGTACGGCCCTCGAGGATGTTGTAAAAATTGAAAGAAAAAAAGATCTCCTCCCCTGCTGTAAATAATAATAAAAACCCTTGATTTATAACTTAACATCTCTGTCTCCTATTGATCTGAGTATATTTATAAAGAATAGCCAGTTAATTGAAGCATTATAGCACAGGCCTTTGTCAGATGGTATATTACGCTGTTTTTTTTTCTGCTTCGAATAGTTCTCTCTTTTTTCACCATACCTGTGTTTGCATCACTGATAAATATATTAGGGCTGTCAAACGATTACAATTTTTAATCAGATTAATCACAGCTTAAAAATTAATTAATCATGATTAATCACCATTCGAACTATGTCCAAAATATGCCATTTCTTTATGTATATTGTTGTGGGAATGGAAAGATAAATGAAAGAAGGCGGATATATCCATTTAACATACAGCATCTATGTTTATTATAACAAATTTCTGCGTGTCAAAATGAAAGACAGCCCACACACCTATCAATCATCAAACCGTGCAGTAGCGTGGCGTGGGGAAAAAATTAGGGGAAGCCAATAATACGTCCTTTCTTTTGGGTCGGGGGTGTGGTAGTCAATGTAACAACGTAACCAGATGAGTGATTACAGCACCCGGTATCATTGTACACACATTTGTATCATACAGATGCAGGACTTACACACACATGTTATCTAACCGACAGGTCCGCACGCACTCTCCAGCCGAAACTCTAATAAGCATTCATTCACAAACTAAATCAGGAGACCTTTAACGTTTAACGACCGATTCGCTCCTTTGTTCCTCGCTGTACACAGCTCTAGTTTGGGCATTGGCCTGTCATCAGATTTTATTTTTAGTTGCTGCTGTAGCGGAAGTTTAGTACAATTATTGTTGATTAAATCTCCACCCTCCATAATTGCACGCTATCTATCGATTAGATTTATGATTCGAAAATTATAAAAGTAGGGTAGAGATGTGGATATTATCCGACTGAACAAAACGTGCATTTATCTAACGGGTTCGTTTTCCACAGACCTTATTTCGAGCTATTTTCCAAAATCCTATGGAGAAATCCCATCGCTTTTTTGTCGAGGGAAACCGAGCACAGCTTACTTCCGGGTTTTAGGACGCGTCACTGCAACACCAATTTCATGCGATTTGATTGAATTGTGAGGCAAGGGAAGCCAGCCGCCTCTGGCTTCCCTTGGCATGGCACTGACTAATCACAGGTTGGCAGGGGCCACCAAGGGAATCCAATTTCGGCTGGCCTCCTCTCGCAACAGAGAGTGCAATCTACTGTTTCACCATAACATCTAGAGGGGCGCTGTTTCACTCTTTGTATAATACTCAATGAGAATGGGGGAGAGACGGGCCGGCAGCAACACACAACAAAGAATTTCCGAAACTAAACGAAGTGTTTTTATTTATTTATTAAAATTATATTTTAGATTATCCCAATCAATAAAAAATTCTATATATATATATATATATATATATATATATATATATATATATATATATATATATATATAACTACAATCCGAAAAAACAGGGGAAGCCTGGCTTCCCTTGGCCTCCAGGAGAAAACGCCACTGAAACCGTGGGGTCTTAATTCATTACGTGTTGATTTCTATCAACGGGGGAGTACTTCGGGAAAGTCGACAGGGGGGGGGGGGTTGTGGTATACTTCGTGACCACAGAGTGTGAACGTTGTGATCAGCTGTTTTAGCGCAGTTCTCCAGTGAAGGGGGGGGGAGTCTCCCTCCGCAGCCGGTTGGCGTAGTTTTGGCACAATTCCGTTGTACAGACCGACGTTAACAGCAGCCCTGTCTGTGCACACGGAGACCGACTCTGTCGTCCGGTGATCTAACCGCCTTCTGGAAAAGCTTCACAAGTACGTCGGTACGCAAATGCGCTTTGTGACACAAGTGACGGTACGCATTTCAGATTACGCACATAACCTGCGTACCAGTTATGTGCACCCCTGTACTACAGCAAAAGTATTCTCCGTCGGGACTTCCTGCAACAACACCACACCGTTATCTTGATTCTGATTGGCCAGAAGACATTATCAAAGATGTTCTAGTGAGAAGACGATCACTACGTGACAAAAGTTTTCAAAACCGTTTCTGGTCTTCGGTATTTCCAGACAAGTGGCTACTGAAATCAATCTTACTAACTGCTGTCTGTGCAATTTACTCCGCGTGAGTTGGCAGACTTTATTTTGCTTACTTTAACATCATTTTTCAAGGTAGGGCTATGCCATTTCTTGGTATGGGTGTAGCCTACCCCAGCCTAACCTGGCGCTGCCACTGGTGGGATGTATGGTGCGGGCCATTCTGCACATGCGTTAAATGCGTTAAATGCGATAATTTTGACAGCATTAATATATATATATATATATATATATATATATATATATAAAATGTAAGTTAAATCAAGCATGTAAACTTGCCTTGATGTTTTGCTGTGTTAAAAGCTTTCTTACATGTTGTGTGTGTGTGCGCGTGTACAGATGTGGAGGTTGACGTTGACGAGCTGAACGAGGAACAGGTGTTGGACGTAAACAAAATGGCAACCCCATACGGAATGGCTGAAGGAGACTTTGTTAGGTAACATCTCAGAGATTATATCATCATGCATCAAAGGTCACCTGAAGAGAAGAGTAAAAATACAGGTTTGGAAGAGAACAACACCTACTCACTCTCTAAAGTGCTATAGTTTAGATTCCCTTGCTTCACAGTCTACAGAATAAATAGGAAAGGCAGTAGGGAGTGACCTTATCGGAAATGTCTTGATAGAATTTGATTTATCCAATATGAACTCAAAAAGTGTATATTAAGAAAACCCTGAAACATAAACCAACAATTACTTAACACTGTTAACATGATGTCTGTTTATCAGGATGTTGAGGAAAGACAAGGAGGAAGTGGAGGCCATCAAACATGCCAAAGCTCTGGAGGCGGAGAAGGCCATGTACTCTGTAAGATAACATCCATTGAGGAATATGTGTGTGTCTCATGCAAGTGGTAAATTAGACTTTATAAGTTACGTTTTTAATCATTTCAGGGCCGGCGTTCCCGCAGACAAAGGAGAGAGTTCAGAGAGAAGAGACTAAAAGGAAGACAGATCAGCCCACCAAGGTAAATATATTAGATCTTCGATAAGATTATTCCTCATTATCTGTACGACTACCTGAAAACAGGTTTAACTCATGTCCTCATTCTTGTGTATTTCAGCTATGCCAGGAGAGACAGCCCAACATACGATCCCTATAAACGGTCAGTATTTTTGCAAGGATGCATGACATGGATTTTTCAGTCTTTACCCATGACGGATAATTATCTGCTCATTTCTGAATGTCGATAGGATAACCGAGAACTTTTTAAAAAGAAGTTAATAACCTGGAGGATTTAATATTTACTAGCTCTGACTTACAACTGATGTTCCTATTGTTAAAATGAGAAAACAAAGAAGAGTTCTGTCTTTTCAACTTTTCATAAAAAAATGTTCATGCATTATGAAACTTGTATTGCAAATCGTGCTGTCTTCCTCTGGAAATGAAAAGCAAAAACATGTTTGTTTCTCGTGTTGGCGTGCTGCGCGTGTTCCTAATTTTCTTATTCTCCATTTTGTTTACTGGCGGATTACAAACCTTCTGTATCTGAGTGTGTAGAGACTGCACTCAAGTAAATAAAATGAATTGGAGTACTTTGCCTGATTTATTGGGTGTTTGTGTATATTTTAACGGTTTTTTCTGATCTGTCTTTCAGGCCAGAGATGGAGTCCAGCTCAGAGTCGCGGTCACGCTCTCGTTCTCCTGGTCCGGAGAAGATCACCTTCATCACCAGCTACGGAGGCAGCGATGATGAAGCAGTAGCGGCGGCGGCAGCGGCGGCAGCAGCTGCAGCAGTAGCTGCAGCAGCAACACAATCAGCTGCTCCCCACTCTGGACACGCCCCCTCCAGCTTACAGCACCCTGCAGGTCATAGCAGGGGCTCCCGGTCGGTAACTTTCCGTCTTTCTGGCTTTCCATTAGTTGCAGTCTAAATTGTTGTTGAAATTACCCCAGAAAGAATACTCACGATGAAATACTGTTGTTGTGGTGGTAGGTGAGGTGGATCAGTCAATAACAAATGAACCTATTCTGCATATGCTTAGGAAAACTGTGTCTGGTTTTAAGAGTTCACATACATTATGTTAGATTGTGCATGTCAGATTATAGCAGCGTATATACAAACGTTTTGCTTATTTCATCCTCTCCACAAAGTCGAGCATGTGATGATTTCTTTAAAACAAGAAACCAGAGTTTTTCTGAAGAAGGCTAGGTCCTGGGCTGGTGTTGATACTGAAACCCTGTGTCTCTGTTTGTCCAGGAGAAGAAGGTCATCCTCCAGTCGCTCCCCCTCCTCCTCCTCCCGCTCCTCATCGCGATCCTCCTCCCACTCTTCTTCCCGTTCCCGCCGCGGTCGACGTGGGCGTGGCGGGAGGGACGGGCGGCGGTCCCGGAGCGATGGGCGGCGATCCCGGAGCCGATCGCGGTCGAGGCGGCGTTCCAGATCTCACTCACGAGGCAGAGCAGGGAACGGAGGGGCCGCGTCCTGGAAGAGGCGGGACCGGACACGATCACGGTCTAACGACAGAGAGCGAGGAAGGGACCGGGACCGGGACAGGAGACGGTACTCAGCACGCAGGCGGACAAAGTGAGACTCCACAACGTCTCCCAACAGTGTTTAAGTTATAGTTAAACCTATCGAGGTGACTCAAGCTCTGCTGTTTTCTCTGTCAGGTCCCGTTCCAGCTCACGGCAGGGGGGCAGCTCGAGGCGAGGGGGGCGGAGCAGCGGGGGTCATCGGAGGGCCGACAGCGGCAGCAAAAGCCCCTCCCGGTCGCCCAGTCGCTCCAACCGCACTCCCTCCCCTCACAGAGGAGCCCCGCCCTCTTCCAACACCATCTGTGACAAGCTAAGAAAGTAAGGACACCATGTAGCAGAGACGAACGAAACAATGACATGGTTTACATGCACAATAACATTTCATTTTGTTAGAATAAGACAATGTCAATGTTTTGATACAGTTGTCTGAAGCCCATGTAGCATCTTCTGATGCAATAGGCCAATGTTATCCAGGTTTTAGGAGCATTCTTTGGAAACATAGAAAGCTATTGGGGGCTTTACCGCAGTTTGCAACACAACCCATTTATCCTGTTTTTAGAGTTAGCTCCTGCATTTGTTGTACACAAACCAATCAAACAGGTTGTAGGCTGGTGTTGAGCTGGAGGCCTAAAAAAAAAAACCGACCTAATTTTGAAACACTCTGAAAGACTTGGATACCCCCGCAGACCTTTTTTATAAAGTTGACTGCTTAAAGCAGGGGAGCTCAACCAGTCGATCGCGGGGAGATTCCCAGTCGATCGCGAGATGTGTGGAACAACAATATCCTGTTTTATCGTTAATGTCCTATAACATAATCTTCCTGTGCCAGAATAATGCAGTTGAACGCATCAAAGCTTTGTGAGTGGCCGGCGTGACCCCATGTGTCGGGGCGCGGCTGGTGGGCAGTGCACTAGTTCGCTGACGTTGTCCGTGTCAACAGGAGTGACAGTCCGCACACACACAAGACCGCAATTATGGCAGAAGCAAAAAAGCCCAAAATATATAATTTTCACTCCGAATGGGAGGATGATTATTTTTGTATCTATTCCAATTCAAAGTCCATCTGTCTCATCTGCAATGCGAGCGTGGCTTTATCGAAGAAGGGTAATTTAGGAGCGGCATCAGAGTTCCCGCTAGAATATTTTTTCGCCGGTCAACATGTCCGTTAAAGTTTAAATCTTCCGGACAAAATGAGAAAAGTGCCGGTCAAAGGTCTTCTTTGTTATTTATTGAGCTTTAAAACAAATTGATATGATTCAATATTAAACTAATTATAGTAGATTAACTACATTATTCAAAAGTGAACAGTAACTTACAATAACACGGGAATAATAAACGGAGCGCTCTCTCCCTCTCCTGACAGCCCGTCAGTATCATGCAGCTCGCTGATCAGTAATGAGTGACCCGACAGTGAAACTAAACATATCTATAACTAGTTTAGGTAGTTTGAGAGGTCATTAAAATAGCTACGTGTGATATTCTAACCTGAAGTGTGTGTTTTGTTCGCTCACCGCTGATCATGCAGAGCTGCGTGTCGACTCGTCAGCAGCAGCTGATCTCTCTCTCCCGTCAGATTAGACTTCACTCGCGTTTATGTCCATATCGATCAGATCCAGCTAGTTCTAGCTAATGATATGACTACCTGCTTATTAAAAGACACCTAAACAATAAGTGTCGCTATGCAACCGGGTGAGGCCGCAAAGTATAGCGCAGCATTATGCATTTGTTTACATGCCCACCGGAACCCCGAGGCATTACCAACAGATCAACGCACAATCAACCCATACAGGACATCTCTTTCTCCACATTACGTGTTAGACATTATAATTGACTATTCTTGTCTGTCACATACTCTTTTGTCTGTCACATAAATGGTGCAAGTTGCGCAACTGATGTGGTATTGCGCTAAGCGGAAATTATTTTGAACGGACACTTTGACCGGAGAGATTTAGATTTGCCGGTCTTCAGCATATTTTACCGGTCGTAGTCCGGTAATTACCAGCTAACGGGAACTCTGAGCGGCATATCAAAACAGTGCACAAACGTTACGAGACGGAATTCCCTCCTAATTCTGCCCTACGCTCCCAAAAGGGGAGGGGCCTGAGAGGACAGCTAAATGCACAGCAGTCCATTTTCACCAGGCCCAACTACAAGAGCAAGGCTGCTACCATAGCATCTTATCGGGTCAGTCACGTTCTTGCGAAACACATGAAGTCTTTCAAAGACGGCGAAGTTGTGAAAGAAGCATTCCTGGAGGCTGCCGACGCGCTTTTGGGGGACAGTAACATAACAGTAGCATTTCAACAGGTTTTTGATATAATAAAAACTCAAGTTAGATACCGTTATTAATCAGCTGTAAGTTTTAGTTTGTTTGAACTTATTCATTATAATTATTGTACAAAATGGTATAAGAATTAGGGCTGTCAGTCGATTAAAATATTTAATCGCATGATTGTCCATAGTTAATCGCAAATTAATCGCACAGTTTTGATCTGTTCTAAATGTTCCTTAGAGCGATATTTTTCAAGTTTTTAATACTCTTATCAACATATGAGTGGACAAATATGCTTTATGCAAATGTTTGTTTATTATCATTTGATCAATGACAAATATTCTCATGAATATTAAACATAACAACCTCTGAACATTAAAAATATCCGCCTCAATTCAACCTGGAACCTCTCTCATACAATACAACTCAAGGCATGCTCGAACGGGAGCTGCCTGGACGCTGCAATCATGTTGCACTATCCGTGCTGAGTGTGCTGACTTTTCGTACAATGTCCCACTGTCTGGCTTCCTGCATAAAGTCAAGTGCTCGGCGCAGTTGTCGGCGAAATGTCGCTCCTCTGTTTTCATTGAAACAGCTCCTTATATCAGTTAGCGCAGCTAGCTAGCACCAGATGCTAACAACAACAATACACGTAAGGTGTGCACGTTCTCTCTCTCTCGCTCGCTCGCTCGCGCCACACATACACACACCCTCTCGGTCCTCCCGATGGCCAGTCCGGGCCTGCCGGTGAGCGTGGAAGTGTGGTCTGCCGCAAGTGGACGGCAGGGGCGGGGCTGTCAGCATCAGCTTGTAGATGGTATTTTAAACTCGATGCGCTCTGAAACTACGTGGCGGCCGAGGAAAAAAATACACATGCGTTAATCGCGTTAAAATAATTAGTGGCGTTATTAACACGTTAACTTGACAGCCCTAATAAGATTGCAAACTTAAATTGATTATAGTCTATTATCAATTCAGGTTAAGAAACTAGTGTTGCTTGCATCCTATTTTTTTTAAAGGCATTTATTTGTATACTCTACTAAAGTGCAACAAAAAAAGGGTTTAATTCTATTCTATGATTGATATTAAATTTGTCTTTTTTATTGCACTTCGGCAGCAGATTCCTGAGTAGCTTCAGATCTGAGTTGTCTTATTAGTAAGCCTAATTTATACTTTTGTAGCAACACTATTTTTATATAATGGCAAAGGGTTCAGAGTCTTTTCTTTTTTTCCTGTGTCATATGTGGCAGCACTGTTCAATGTTTCTTGAAAACATTACCCACTGTAGTATGTGACATGTGAATGAATTCCAACTCTGTATCAACAACACTGTTATGTAACTTCAGTTAAAAACTTGTATGTGTGTAGATTAGAAAGAGGTAAGATAAAGGATCTGCAGTATTTTATGAAGTATTAATCGTACAGAGGTCAGTTTTATACAAGTAGAAGTGTGTATTTACCTGGTAGTAGGCTGTCAGTAATGGCTAGGCCTCTCTATTTGGACTGGTAGATCTCGGCAGACTGGCAACTTTAAAAGTAGCTCTCGGTTCAAAAAAGATTGGGCACCCCTGGCTTAAAGTAATGAAAGAGGGCAGCTGTGTGTTTCACAGCTGAAAAACTTCTTTCATTGGCTTGTTACAATAATCAGAATAAGAATGGCATTGCATCTAAATGGAAATATTAGTGGAGTGGAAGTTCATATAAACAGCTAGTTGCAATATTGTCTTTTTCATAATAGGAACTGAATATTTTGTTTATGTAAATGCCTAAGGATTTCAGTTGAACTCAAAAATGTAATAGTTCCTTTTTACTGCAAGGGAGCAGCATCTCAGAGTGATTGGGTAGGCCTTCAACTCAGGTTAATAAACATTTAACTGTTGCATGCATTTGGGCATAACATGGGTTCTTGTGAATAGCCATTTGACACACAAGTGTTATAAAACCATACGAATCATTTTATGAATGTATTATGTTTTTGGAACCAATTTATTTCTTGGCATGAGGAAGGAACAGTGTTTTTTTTATTTTTTATAATCGAGATATCCTTATCCCATCGCCTCATCACCCATCTCACTGTTGTTTTTCTGTTGTTTCTGTTTACAGGCCTGATACTCCGGGTGGTAAAGAGACGGGAGCTGCCAAAGTCAGTAAGAATTTGACCTAGTTGCGTTTCTTGCTAAAGCCTACGCCTTCCTCACCCCTGACAGGCTGACTTGGTTTTCTACCAGGCTGGGATGTAGAAGCCATTGTTGCCCAAAGAAAAGAAAATAATAATGTGATTTCCCCCCCCCCCCCCCCCCAACAAAGTTGACATGCTCTGCAGTTAAAGCCTACCAACTATTTAGCAAATTACCGTATTGTTCACCTTAAGTGTTTTGCTGAGAACACTAGAGAAAAGACTGAACGCTGTTATCTCTGTATGGAGTGAACATTTCAGCGCCCTGTGAAGTCCTCACTGTGATTTCAGTGTGTGTGCATATATACATGTGGGTCTTTATATCTGTGTGTAGTCTCACGCAGCAGCAGGTCACACATGAACCAACCTAAGGGAAAGAAGATGATTACTTTTTGTATCTTATTGGCCAAGTGATCATTTAATAGTGACTGAAGTTGTTTGATTTATCCCTGATGGAGAAACCTGATGGGAGTGCTCTGGACAGAAGTTTCTTTAGGCTTGTTTTAACAAGCAGAGAACGCTCTTACGGCCCGTCCACGCAGCAGCGTTAAAAAAATCTTCCAACGCTTCTGCCCATTCACTTTGAATGGGGTGACGTCACTTTGCCTCACCTTTCGCCGAACTGCATTGTGGGAAGCAAAGCGGAGATTTCCAGGCATCTCAGGCTTCAAAAGTTGAGCAATGTTCAACTTTTGAAGCTGAGGTGGAAGCATCAGCCAATCAAATCCCGTTTATGCAAATCTGACAGTACAAGCGTTAGCCAATCAAACCGCGTGTAAGCTGGGAGTTCTATATTCCTAACAAAATGGAGGAGAAGTTAGTTATTGCGGTAGCAAATCACCCGGTTCTTTATGACCAGTCCCTATTAACTTACCGGGATACAAACCGGAGGAACCAGACATGGAGGGAGGTGGCAGAGACAGTGGGTGAAACTGGTAGGTTTTCGCCTGTTTGGGGATTTTATATCCAGTTTACTTCGTTTTAACATTGCTAGCAAGCGGGGGGGCGGGAGATTCATGTGATTGGTTGTTGGTCGCGTTGCTCGCAAAAAATCCCTAAGCTTCAGATACGCCCACCTCCAAGATTTTTTTAATGCTGCTGTGTGGACGTACCGTTACTCCTAAATTGAAATGCTGTACATCCCACACACGCATTGCAGTCTTGAGATGAGAGTTCAAAGGAATGGTTTTGGGAAGTACACTAACTTCCTGTCCTGCAGAGTTGGACGAGAACATTGATTAGCTCATTCAACACAATGATGTGTTAAGGTTAACACGTGAGCTTAAGGTGCTAGTATGCTACTGTTTACAGTCTTTATGCTGAGCTAAACTACTTGTGGTAGCTTTATAATCTACTTGCAGGCATGCGAGTGTTATCAATCTTCTCATTCGACTCTGGACAAGAAAGGAAATGTGTGTATTTCCCAATAATATCAAACTAGTCCTTTTTAAAACTGAACAGCATATTTATTTGTTTTCATTCTGAACCAGCTTTTCTTCTTTCTTGGCAAAGAAGAAAATATTTGAATATTCTCTCCGCAGACAAACAGAGGGAAGGTTATTATCTCTTTCCTGCACTGTTGTGACCTGCAGTCTCTTGCCTGGCCAGGTTTAAACGGCCCAGCGATGGGTGTGTCAGTTACAAAATGCCACCGGCTGTTGCTGATGTTTCCAAACTCACCGGACTTGAACTCTCTGACCCTCTGTCCTTCTTCTGACGCACCCTTCACCTTCTTACAGTGTTCGTACATATAAAAGTGTAAAGACTCATGTTACTGGAGCCTGTCCTGCTGCTAAAATATCCAACTGCTGAAGTGTACTTCTGTCCACACACACACACACACACACACACACACACACACACACACACACACACACACACACACACACACACACACACACACACACACACTCTCTCTCTGTCTGTTCAGCCTTAGAAATTCAAGTGTGGTTGACTTGACAAACATCACACATCATTTTTCTGCTACCTTTTTATTTTTTTTCTCTAATGGCTACTGTACATAAATGTGTTAGTTCTGAAATTGTATAACAGCATAGTGCCTTTGATCTCCTTCACACACACACACACACGTGCACACACACGTGCACAAAGACACACACAGACTCACGCTTTTGTCAGACTGTGAAAGCTTGTGCTAACACAATTGTGTCACCTGCAGAACAAGATGACCCCACAGGAGAAGCTGAAGATCAAAATGCAGAAGGCGCTCAACAGGCAGTGTGAGTATATACTGTGTTTTCGCTTTGTACACAAATCTACTCAAATGTCCATGTTTGTCAGAGATGCACTCTTGCAATATTATTGGCCAATTCAGGTTTTTTTTATTTTTTTTAAAATCTGCTACTGATTTTGGTTTTGGCCGATTCCAATAATATTTTCAAAGAACTATATTTGACAGTAAACACAAATTCTATTGTGTGTCAAAATAAAACATGGACTATTTAAGAAAACGGGTGAGGAACTGAAGATCTTCTACAAGGATAATATGTTGTGTGTGTGTCTGCAACGTAATTGTCTGCCGCTGTTTGAGCATAAATCAACGTAACATAAAACTATCATTCGGTGCGTGGGTAGTTTCACTGGCATAAATCTGTTGGTAAGAAACTGGTCAGAGGCCAGGGTAAATCCTCTGACCATCGTACAGCCTCGACAGGTGGCCGATCGTTCAGTGCATCTCTAGTATCTGTTGTACAATTTGTCACATTATGAAAATAACAAATGTATTTTTCGCTCCTTTTAACATCCTGTATTTTCCTTCTCCTGCAGCCAAGGCGGATAAAAGAGCGGCGCAGGTGAAGGTCCAGCAGCAGGAAAGCAAACGACAGGTGTGTGTTTGTGTGTTAGTCTTTAGGCTGAAACACACTCTGTTATCCTGCGTCTCTCCTCATGGCTGTGTGTTTTTTCTGCAGGAGCGAGAGGGAGAGCTACGAGCCATGGCACGCAAGATACGCATGAAGTAAGAACCCGTGTGAGTGTGTGAACGGCGGTTTGGTATGTGTGTTGCAACTGTCTGACCCAGAGGCTCTATGTTCAGGGAGCGAGAGAGACGTGAGAAGGAGAGGGACGAATGGGAGAGACAGTACGGGCGTCAGAGCCACTCGCCTTCCCCTTCCAAACATGGTGAGACACAAACAGCCATATGTATCTAATAATAATTTGGTTTAGTGCCTTGTTTATAGAAGAAACAATCAGCTAAGCCTCTGTCGGATCTCCTGCCATCAGTTTCTGCTCTGACAGTTTTATGGGCTGTAATACGTTCTGCCATGCGTTGTTTTCACGGTGTCTTGTCCTCTGTCCCTGCAGGCCGAGAGCACAGCTCACACAGAAGGTATGCGAGAAGCCGCAGCAATCCCAACAGCTCCGATGAAGCAGAATGAATTATGGGAGTCTTTCACGTTAATGCACATTCACTTATCCCAAGGCTCATCACCGTGCCTTTTATATGCAACACTAATGCTACTTGGCTTTTTCTTCACTCAGATCAAATCAGTGTGTAAGGTGTTAAGAGAGAAACCGGAGCAATACTTCAGTACAAGTGAATTCCTGAGTCAAAGAAAATACCTCAAATGATTCACTGCAATTAATTTCACCCCTCATCAGAACTTCAGCTCATTCCTTAGTATTATTTTATGAATCACATTAAGATATGTCAGTTTCAAGGAAGACCTCACGTAGACCGGACTCGATGTTAAAGTCAGTGAAGTGAAAACAAATTTCATTTTAGAATTTAAAGATTCTTAAAAGAATTCATAAACGTATTTTAAATGTTTACTAAAATAAAAAATAAAATGTTGACTTAAAGGTGGGGTAGGTAAGTTTGAGAAACCGGCTCGAGATACACTTTTTGTTATATTCCATGGAATGCTCTTAACATCCCGATAGCAATGAATATCTTAAGTGCTTTGACAAAAAATCCATAAAAAAATGTCATCTGTGGAAGCCGTAGTACTGTAAAAAGCACGATGGCCTACCTGCCTGTCAGCCTTCCATCTGTGCACAAACTTATCTCGTGCCCTCATTGGTCATGTGCGCGTTCGTGTGCGTTGGAGGAGGGGGTCTGTAAGGAAGTGGCAGATTTGTTCCGGTTGTATATTTTCAAATTCTAGCGCACTCGAGCTGGTTTCTCCAAAATGACCTACCCCACCTTTAAACAGAAATTGTACTTCAGTAAATCTTAATTTCATTAAAGCCACAATATCTGGATCTTCACATATAAACTAAAGCGATCCCCAACCAGGTTCAGTTCCCAAACTGACCCGTTTTTATACTCCGTAAAAACACCAAGCAAGTCAGTCTAAATGATTGATGTTTATTGACGCTGCTAAAGTTTTTTTTACATCAGCAACATTTGTTTTTATATTAGATTATGATCAGTTGATTTAAAAAAATGCTTCTTTTTGAAACTTTAAGCTTATATTGAAGACTAATAAGACTTTTAGGACAAGAAATATATACACTTACACATTTCTGTATGATGTTAGTCAGATTGAGCTTCTCTCACTTTTGTACTTATTGTTGTTTTATCTTTTTACAGGAGGTCTCGGTCCCGGTCACGAAGTCCACCCTACCGATACTGAGCGGAGGGAACATGGACGCCTCCTACAGTCCCATTAGTACACAGCCATGTACACATATTCTAACAAACGGCCAACAAACGTGAAAAGATGGAGTGATCATGATACCAACCTTTACTTGAACACTCTGTCCTCTGGTATGTGTCCACAGATATAATATTTGGACTGTGATACCTTTTACTTTCAGTTATCAAAGCCAATTGGTTCGGCGGAGCGGAGTTTGATCTGCCCTTTTCATTTTTGATTCAACTTGTAAAAAGTCTTCAGCTTTAATAAATTAGTTTCTTCTTCTGCATGCTCCTTTTTTCTTTCTCTGCCTGAACAGTTCTCAACTCGTCTGGAGTTGTTCATTTGTATTTCAATGTACATAATAAGCAACATCTCACCTTTTCACCTCACATCGTCTCCACGTTAGCCTTTCTTTTTATTTCTCCGACAAGCTCACACTACAGAACATTTTAACAACCTCTCAAGAGCCGATGTACAGGATATTTACACTTATCCATTTATTTAAAACGTCTTTATTAAAGGAAACAAACTCCCTGTATAAATTCAAACTTTATCCAGCGCTCCTTTTATACTCTGTCGTCTGCTAACCGGTTTACAGCAGCATATAGCCTTTTGGTTTTCAGCAAAATGGAATGTAAAATATGGAACAATAAATAAAACTCACTTTGAAACTATTTGTTCATTTCCCTTTTTTTCCTATTCAAAATCTTAGTTTTTTTTTGTAAAGCTTGTACCGAAAGAAATAATATATTTTTAGTATTGGTAAGTTATTTTGGTTTTGTATACCTTATATAATTTAGCATACGTTGGTCACAATTATTTTATTATCCCGGGACTACTTTGCTCAATACATTTGTTGAACAACAAGCAGCTAATATCTTATTTGTATCCGCAGCTAACGGATAATATCAGTTATGTGAATGAAAGCCTTACACTTTGACAAATACAGAGAGCCCTAGTAAAAAAAACACTTCGAAACAAACAAAATAGGACTAATAAAAGGCTCCCACTAGGAAGCACGACATTAAAAGCAGACAGTTCATCAGTAAAAGCTCACTTTCTCAGTGTATTCCCATCAGTAGGTGGCGACAAATCTCAGTCTCTCAGCGAAAGATGCTTCACTGCTTCTTCTCACTGTCCATCTGTAATACTCAATTCAAGGCATTTTGTGACACTTTGCTGTGGTTTTACGGCTGTAAAACTGTCACAACAAGAAAAAGAGAAATGAGAGCTTGCATAGCACTAGTTTGGTAATTGAGACACCTGTGAGAAACCAAACCAGGTAGTTCCTCTGAGCTGCTGTGGAGGAACTAAATGTGAATTCCCACTATCTATCGGATGTGAAAACCTTGATTGAAACAAAAACAGTGCGTAAAAGAGAACAAGCCTTAAAGTGAAAGAAGGAGTGTGTTACCCGAGGAGGGCGGGGTCAGGGTCGCGGGGCGGGCGGTGCTACAGTCCGCCTGCTGCGGGGAAGACGCGTGAACTTGAACGCAGCCTTCAGTGCGATCTGAAGCAGAGGCCAGCCGGTGTCTCAGTGTCTGTCCCCCCGGTCGGGATTCGGTCAACTTATCGAAGCAGGCGGATCTTTGCTTTGGAGGGTTTGTGGTTCGGGAAGGTGCCACACGCCAAACGCGATGTCCAGGCGCAAACTTGGGAGCAGACCGCAGCACCTGACTGCAATCCAAGGTAAGCAGCGGTGTGTGGGTACGTTGAAACGGCTCACATGCGGATGTTATGTTGTTGTTTTAAGGTTAAATTAAAAATAAACTCAGCTCACAGGTTAGTTTCATTTGGTTTACGCGCATGGTTTTAAATCCGCGCTGTTTATGGATCTTATTTATTTAATCTAGAAACTAAAAAACATCCATGACGGGGTTAAAGTATATTTGTGTACACATTGACCTCAATCAAGCCTATGTGGATGTATTTTAATCTCCTTTTAACTAAATATTTAAATAAGGGCTCATCTTTTCTTGTGATGTTTGTCCTCATGTACTGTTGCTGCAGTCTTGCTCATAGAGGAAGGACCGGTTTATTGGCACGCTGTTTTCAGCAGAGGCTACAGGTCCGAACACGATGATTAATATCTCAGGTTAGACCATGATCAAGTTTCTCGGTCGGTCTCTGTTGGCTTCTGTGCAGCAGTTTCCCTCCACTGACTCTTAACCTGTTCAAATCCTGGATTCATGCCGCTTTATTCTATATATTAATATATAGAAATATTTAGAAAATTAAAATAATGTTTTAAATAAAACTACTGTAGGCCTATAATAGATACAATTCAGACTTTTTAAACATAAAGAGAACAGTGGAGCTCCAAAAGAAACATGTGATGCTTGAAGGGATATAAGAGAGACACTTGGACACCATTTGTTTTTTTACAGTTGGAGGCCAGTGGTGCGTGTCTACTGTGACCACAGGCCCTGTCTCAACTCTATCTAATGTGTGTGTGTGTGTGTGCGAGAGTGTGTGTGTGTGACCGCGCCTTGCAAGTCTGCACAAACATCGCAGCCCTGAAACAGGAAAGGTGACATTTTTGACTAACAACTGGCGAGATCCGTCTTCAGACTGTACTGTCTGTACCTGTCCTGTATGGTTGCCGGCCTCGCGGGGGCAGGTGGATCCAGTTGAGGCATCAAGGTGTGCCCTTGACCGCATTGAGTAACACTGAACCCTCCCACTGCTTTAACTTATACACCTGTCTGCAGACTGGAAGCATTTCAAAGTGCTCGCTCTAACTTATTGATATTCATCAGATTGTTGAATCAGATGAGCTGTTATGTATGTTTCTGAGCACACACAGGGGCCGCTCTTATCTCAAACACCTTCAGTCGTTTTTTTATTTTATTGCAATCCACTTCCTGTTGAGAAACTCCCGCTGTCTGTGGCTGGCAGGGCAAGTTATGTTTGTGACTCAAAGGTGAAAGCTTTGGTCATAATGTTGTGTCTTTAAATCCATAACCTCACTTGTGAGCACATGAAGACTGTCAAATTAATCTGAGTTGGATGTTTCTGCTGAGATGGGCATCTCGGCTCCTCTCTGCAGCAGTGAGAGCGAGCGGATCTGTTTTGGGTTGGTTAAAGGAAGTGGTCAGTGTTGGCTGAGCAGATTGTCCTCATTGCTTTGGAGCTTACAACTGAAACTAGCACTTGCAATCACCACGCCTGTTAGTTTACTGAGGTCTAACAGAGCTTTTTCTTATTTGGGTTGTTCATTTGTAAGAGCATGGCCAGAAGCTCCTTAGAAGAAATCCAAATTAATATCACACTTCTGTTGAAGTTAATGTGGATCTTTTTCGTATGGGTCTGTAAATGTTAATTTTTTTTTGGAGAAAGTGGGAGAATAATGTCAAAGATTTGGTTTGGTATTGATTGATCCCTCTGCATTTAAGTGATATGGCTAAAAGAAAGGTGATGTGTGTAGAAGTGTTTTCTTTCAAGACTGCGAGTAATATGCTTCATAGCAACCACTCGTTTGTGGACACCACCAACTGTACGCTGCATGGAAATGATGAATTACACCCATGGACTATAGATAGACAAGGGTGAAAAACACTGAATGAAGAGAGTGTTGCAATAAATATACAGATTCTATTTCAGATTAACCGTTTGTTCTGTTAAATATCAGAGTGGAAAAGGCCAGCAAGACCAAGTTGATATTAAATGTCTTGTTTTGTCCAACAAAAAGTACAAAATCCAATGAGAATTTCAAAAACCAAAATTCCATTCACAGCTAAAACTTTTGCTTGAAATCTAAACAATGAAAAATGATGTCCACACTAAAGGGAAAGTGTTGAAATGCCTGTACTGGTCATGTGTGGCTTTAAAGTAAGTAAATACGTCTTATCTCTGTTGTTAATTGAACTTTCTCTTGTGTTTCTCAGATGTCACTGATATGGCGGATGGCGTCCCTCCATCAGACGTCCGGCCTCCTCTTCTTCCTCCTCCTCCTCCTCCACCTCCTCTTCCTCCTCCACAGGTCGGAGCTCCTGGTGAAGGTCGTGACCTCCTGACCTGCGGACAGTGCAGTCGGGCCTTTCCCCTCGCTCACATCCTGGCGTTCATCCAGCACAAACAGGGCGGCTGCCGTTCCCAAAACCAAGCCCCAAACGCCAACGCCACGCCCCCCTCACCTGCCAACCGAGCGCAGCACCGCGGGGCCAACGCCGAGCTGGGGCCCGGCTACATCGAGCTGAGGAGAGGCAGGGGGGCCTGGGAGGAGGAGCCCGGCGTGAGGGTGAAGGCGGAGCACAGCAAAGCAGGTGAGCGTTCACGTTGAAGCACAACGAGAAGGCAGGTTGCTAATTAGTGACTCTGTTTTTTGTTTTGTTGTATATTTTTTTTCTTCAACTAACATCCTCTGCATTTAACAACTGTTCCCCCCCCCTCCCCCCGAGTCCAGCTCATTAGCTAGCCGTTGCCATTAGCAGACCTGCCTGAGTTAGTGACGCACAGGCTAATTGTGTGGAAAGGATAGGCGTCAGGAGCGCTCAGAGGGCACCCAGGGTCCCCGAGGGCCCCACACGGAGCACCTGAGCTCCTCCTCATCTCCCTGACTGTCAGTCTCTGAGGTGGAGTGGCCAGGTAAACATGTTTCCCTCTGTCCTGCGCTACACCCTGGACAACAGAGACTGAGACAAAATCCTCCAGCACAGGAGCACGATTCACTGATTTATGGCAGATGATGGTTGTAGTCGTGTGCCACAAGATGAAATGGTCAGAGCAGCGGATGCAAGTTTGTTTTTTTCCAGCTCTCCTCGCTGTCATGACACTATAATGAAGGACGTTGCATCATGTGCAACTCCTCTGCCATCTCCCTCTCTTCTGCCCCGGGCCGAGCCACCTGAGCTCCTGGGAATCTCCTCCTTCCTGCTCCTTTTTCTTCATCCTATGCATCTTTTTCTCTTTCTTCTTCCCATGTTGTCCTTACCATCCTTCTCTTGTAGTTCTATGTATCAGACATCTGCAGATCTCTTTCACACGTATTCTGCTGCTGTTCCTCCGAGAGAAGAAGAGTGCGGCCACTGTGATGGTCATGCCAAATATATCACGGTGGAAGTCAATCAGCAGTTCATGAATTCTAAATGATAATCCTTTTGAATATCACATCTGATGGCTAACTGCTGTGTTTGATATGGAGGATAGTAGTTTTTTTCCTGCTCAGGTCAGATACATTTCAGTTTACCGTTGTATCTCTGAAGTGGAATAGGGGCGTATGCAGGATGTTGTAAATGTCTGCAGATGGACAGCGCGTCTTGCAGCACGCTCAGGGTAGATATGAGTGCCCCATTGCACATTTTGAAACCCTCTCTGTCATGTAGACACACGTTTGCAGTTCCTTCCTTTGTGTAACGCTCAGGGGACTGGTGCACGCACCATTTCCGTCTGTCCACAACCTCATTTTTGTTTTTCTATTTCAGTCAGTCTTTCATCTCTCGCTCTGTATGTCGGAGAACAGAAGTTTGGTAATTTTGTGCCTGCAGGATTATAAAACAAACCTAACACGTGCACTCGGCGAGGGGGAAGGATCAGGACAGCTTGTGAATAAGGAAAAAGCCGATAAGTTTGAAGGAAAGTTTTATGCAGGTTGCATATGTTGGGAGTTGGTAATTGCGATTTCCTCCAGCTTTTACAGTTTTATCTCCTCAGATTTGATTTTTTTTTTTTTTTA